TCCTGGGAAGGGAACAGCTTTATTTTGGGTTTCTCTCCCCCTTTGCTTTAGTTGTGTCATTAATGATGATTTTCTTGCTAATTGGAGCAACTTGAAGCTTCACACTTGTCAGGAGAGGAGATTCCACCCTTAGGAAGCTGAGTGGGTTTGTTTGGGGATGCTCAGAGGAGGTTAGGGGTGGGATAAGTGATTTTCCAGAGGATTGGGGGAAGCTGGGAAGGATTTGGGGTTGGCATTTCCCTCCTTTGGCTTTAAGGCTGTTGGGAGGTGGGTGCAGAGCCTGGCAGTGCCCTGCCCCAGGGTGGCACCTGCTCTGGGGGGTTTGGGGTGGGATGGGGGTCTCTCCATGCTGGCACATCCCCTGGGGCTTTCCCCACTATACCAAAAAAGGGATTTCAGCCCAGGGCTGTGACAGCCCCACAAGCACTGTCCAAACCCCAACAAGAGCCCCAAACCATTTGGGGATTTTGTGCAGCTTGTTATCTTAGGTGTAAGGTTTTTTATTTTTTTTTTAATTTGAAATCCCAGCACGAAATAATCCTCTTTTTCTGGTCGGAATAGAAATGGCTTGATGCCACGAGGCAAAAAAAAAAAATTAAAAAAAAATAAAAGGCAGCTCTACCCAGTGCTGTGCTGATTTGCAAGGCTAGTGAGAGACTACAGAAGGTGTTTTCAAATAGACTCTGATATTTTCAGTGCTTGAAGAGGGCCCGACTACATGACACCTTTTTTGAAGCCCTGATTTACAATGGCCCCAGGCTGAGTGCATTATAATTTGCTGCCAGAAGTTCCAAAGTCGCAGTACTTTCAATAATGAGGAGAGAAACCCTAATACCAGAAGACTTTTCCCTTTCTTTCTTTTTTTTTTTTTTTTTTTTTTTTTTTTGGGGGCATTGTGTTTAATGAAAAGCTAAAAATGTGCTAATTTGTAAGTCCTGTTGTGGTAGTGGCATCGGAGGCTTTTGAAATGCGTTACTGACTTGGGGAGTATTAAGGAAAAATGACATTTTGCTACTAGCAGAAAAGTCAATTATAATGTTTCCACACTTTAGAAAATTGCTGATGCAGGATGGGAGTTAATAGAACAGTCAGCTTCACTTTGTGTTACCGGATTTGGGGGGTTTTGCTGAGAAACCTGGGCTTGTTTTTAAATTCTGATGGCAGCTTCAATCCCGGGCTGCCGCGGGTGCTGTGAGCCTGGGCTCAGGCAGGCTGGGATGTGTTCCCTGCTCGTTCCCACCTGGAGCTGCCAGCCTGGCGTGCTGCAGAGACAGGGAAATCAGCATCAATGAAGATGTAGTGCTTTGCAGTCCCTTTGATCCATCCCTGGTGGTGCCGGAGCTCTGAGCCTGCTGCACTCTGCAGAAGAGCCCCGAGCACTCATTTCAAACATTTACAGCCAGAAACAGGGGAAGGAGCTGCTCTTTCCCACCGTGCTCCCAGTGCAGCCTTTCCCCCTCATCTCCTGGGGAAGAAAACAGCAGAAAACTTTTTGTGAGCTCCTGGGGGAAGGAGGGTGGCAGCTCCGTTAGAACAGAGTTTCAGTGCTGCTGGTGAATCCCTGTTGTGGTGTTGGGAGGGTCCCTAGGATGAGGTGAGAGATGAGAATTTGACTCCATGTTCTCGGGAGGTTGATTTATTATATTATGATATTATATAAAATAAATTATATACTAAAGAAAGAGAAAGGATACATCAGAAGGCTGGAAAGGAATGAATAACAAAAACCTGTGACTGACCACAGAGCATGACACAGCTGGGCTGTGATTGATCATTAAGTAAAAACAATTGACATGGAACCAATCAAAGATGCACCTGTTGGGAAGTAACTTCTAGACTACATTCCAAGCAAGCAGATAATTGTTGTTTACATTTCTTTTCTGAGGCTTCTCAGCTCCTCAGGAGGAAAATCTTGGCAAAGGGATTTTTCAGAAAATATTCTAGTAGCAAAAGCCCAGGGCTGGAGCTGTCAGGCAAGCAGGGGCAATCCCAATGATCCCATCTCTGGGCTGGGACAGGTGAGGAGGCAGAGCAGCTCAGGCTCTTTTATTTCCAGCCCTTTCCACGGGCAGGGACACCTTCTACTGTCTCAGGGAGTTTCAAGCCCCATCCTGGCCTTGGACACTTCCAGGGATGGGGCAGCCACAGCTTCTTTGGGAATTCCATTCCAGGGCCTCCCCACTCTCCCAGGGAACAATTCCTTCCCAATATCCCACCTATCCCTGCCCTCTGGCAGTGGGAGCCATTCCCTGTGTCCTACTCCAAGCATGGCCTTGGGGGCTGCATTTTAAGCACATAAAAATCCACAGGGCAGGGAAATGCCAAGACTTTAATTATCTTCTGCTCCCCCTTCCAGGTGTTCCAAAAAGGGGCTCCTGCTTGGTGTCGTTAAAATTGGAGGGTGGGGGAATGAGCATCAAGACTTTTCTAAAAGTCACGTCATATGTAGTTCTCCTGAGTTTGCAGGAAGCAATTAAGGCAATTAATTTATTGGTAAATTATCTGATGATGAAGTACAAAATAACTGCAATGAAATGCTGACATTCACATTAATACCAAATTAGTTACTGTATTATGACTGTTCTTACAATGAATGCCCAGTAATTTAATAGTAATGGGACATTTAAATAATTTAGCTGATCATTCTCTAGATCACTTCCATATATAAATGAGCATGACAGCTTCTCCTCTCAGCTTTGCTGCTGCTGGATTGCTGCCACCTCCACACCAGCAGGCACAGCAGCCTGGCCTCTCTTTGCTGTCCCCCAGAGCTCCTCTTTTGTGGTGTTTTCTGGGGTTTCTCATGGCTGGAAGGAATGAATCTGACTCTAGGTTCTTAGAAGGATATTATATGATATGATATTAATTTTATGTAATAAAATACAATAAAATTGATTTTATTTATTATTATTTTATTTAATTATTTATATTTTATTATTTACATTTCAGTATTTTATTATTCCATTTTTATTTTATTTTTCATTTCATTATTTATTTTATTTTATTATTTTAAATTTTATATTATTTATTTATTTTATTATTAATTTTTTCTTTATTTTCTTTATTTTATTTATTTTATTTTATTTTATTATATTATTAATTTTTTCTTTATTTTATTTTTTCTTTATTTTATTTTTTATATTATATTGCTATACTAAACTATACTAAAGAATAGAGAAAGATACAGAAGGCTTAACAAGATGATAAGGACAAAACCTGTGACTCTCCAGAGTCCAACACAGCTGGCTGTGATTGGTCATTAATGAATAACAATTCACATGGAACCAATCAAACATTCACCTGTTGGATAAACAATCTCCAAGCCACATTCCAAAGCAGCAAAACACAGGAGAAGCAAATGAGTTAATATTGTTTTCATTTTTCTCTGAGGTGTCTCAGCTTCCCAGGAGAAGAAATCCTGGCAAAGGGATTTTTCAGAAAATGTGACAGTGACAGAGGAGGGGGCAGAGCTTTTCTGCTTTATGGGATGGCTTGGGTTGAGGGGACCCTAAATTTCATCCAGTTCCACGCTGTGCCATGGGCAGGGACATCTTCCAGGGTCTCAAGTTGCTCCCAGCCTTATCCAGCCTGGCCAGGGACACTTCCCCATCCCTTTGTCACCTCCTGCACCCCTGGAGCTGTTTGTTGAACCAGCTGGGGCTTCTGGACCCTCACAGAGAGAAAGAAATGCAAGCAGCCACCAGTGCAAGCTGCACCTAAAGGAGACACTCTCTCCTTTTATTTCTTGGTTTTATTTGGGTGTTTTTGTGCTTTGGTGTTTTTTTTTGGGGGGGGGTTTGGGGAGGAGGTTTTTTTTTTTTTTTTTTTTTTGTTTTTTTTTTTGGTTTTTGGGGTTTTTTGGTTTTTTTTNCATTTGCTTCTCCTGTGTTGTGCCCACATGTGGAATGTGTTTGGAGATTGTTCACCCACAGGTGATTGTTCCATTGGGTTCTGCTGGGAGTTGTTTCGGCTCTTTGGCCAATCAGGGCCAAGCTGTGTCAGACTCTGGACAGAGTCAGGAGTTTTCATTATTATCTTTTTAGCCTTCAGTAAGTGTCCTTTCTGTATTCTTTAGTATACTATAGCATTCTTTAATACAATATAGTATTATAAAATAATAAATCAGCCTTCTGAGAACATGGAGTCAGACGCATCATTCCTGCCATCATTGGGATTATATCCCAGCAAATACAATAAATGAGGCTCCGATTGCACCTGGTTCAGTCCTGCCCCTGCATTCCCTCCCCTGCCCAGCAGCCTGGTGCCTGAAGCAGCTCCTGACTCCTCTTTTCCCATTTTTCTCTGGCAGCTTTAGGGGCTGGATGTGCTCAGTGGCTCTGACTGCAGCTGGGAGAAGGGGAACACAACCCCCTCAGTGCGTGCTCATCCAGGAGTGCCATTCCAGGTGGAATCAGGTGGGCAAGCCAATGCCCTGCTGGCCACCAGGACATGCAGGTCCATGTGCAAGTGGCTGGTAGGAGCTAAAGGCAGCTCAGAATTCCCCAGGAAAGGAAAAGCTGACTTTGCTGGGAGTGAAGGCTCCCAAGCCAGGTGGGAGGGTGATGGAGGGCTGGGTTTGGGATGTGCTGGCTTTGGGACGAGCCAGAGAGAGGAATTGGGTTTCCCAGCAGCTCCAGGACCTCCTGGACCATCTCCTGAGCACCTGGGGCCATGGGGAGCATCACCTCCGGGCATCTTATCCTTCCTGATAGGACCATGGGGAATTTGGGCTGTGAGCCCTCCTGAGAGCATTCCCAAAACCCAGAATGCCTAATCCCAGCCTGAAGAAATCTTGTGGATGCACAGATTTTACACTTCCACTGGGTTACTGGGAGCAGAAGAGAAGAAAATATTAAAAGTGATGAATATTAATGACCAGAACTGTGGGCTAACCAGAAACCTTGGGCACGCCTAAGGCACCAAAATGCACTGCACCTCTCCTGTTCAGGGTTAGTAAATACCCACTGACTTCATTTTCATTTCCTTCAAAGGAAAAGTACCTGAGAGTCCATAGGAGGCTTGGCTTTTCACCTGCCACTCCAGCTGGTTCTTACTGATCTCAAAGACCAGGTTGACATCTTGGTGGTACCTCTCAGTCAGGAGCTGCAGGCTCCTCAGGTCCCCTGTGACCAGGGCTGTGTAGAACCTGGCGATGGGGGCACGAGGTCCCAAGGGATGCTCCGGGTCCAACTTGGAGGAAATCCTCAGCTTTCCTGTCCCAGCTCCTGGTGCCTGGCTCATGCCAGTGCTTCCTGGTGTGCAGGTCCTCCCTGGGGGGATGGCCAGGCTTTTATAGCCCATTGGTTCCATCCTCTTGGCTCATTGTCTAATTATAATCCAGTCCAGGCTCTGTTGTGGAGTATTTATAACTCCAGAGGGGCTGGAGCATGATGGACATGGGCTACAATGAGGATCAGGTGGTCATTGGGCCATGCTGCAGCAGCACCTCTTTGATTGAATTGCTGGATTTTTGGAGGGTCCAACTTGAGACAGAAGTGTTTAGGCTGGGAGGAAAATGGTGCCTAATGTTTAGGAAACTAAAAAAAAAAAAAATTAAGAAATTTAGTCGTGCTGTCTGTCCATCCCCAATAACCTTATTTGTGTCCTCTCACCCAATAACCTTATTTGTGTCCTCTGAGCTCTGAGTTGATTTTATTTTCCCCCCCTCTACATTCTTTTTTTTCATGAAGGTGCTCATAGGAGATTCCAGTCCTGTGGTTGCAATGTGGAAAAATCTGGGCTACGTGTTGCTGGCCCAGCCTGGAACGCTGGGATGGCCCTTGCAGCAAGGTACAAATGCTCCTGGGGCTTTGGCACTCCCAGACAGTGCCTTGTATAGCAGACAGAAAGCTGCCCTGGATGCCAGCAGAGCATTCCCTGCTCCCACTTCCCCTTTCCCCAAGGTCACCGGAGAGATCCGTGCTGGGGACAAGAATAGAGACTGGCATCTCGTGACTGGGAGGCTCTGGGTGACAAAGCCTGCCCTTCCCAGCCCTGCCACCCAGCTCTGTGGGGATAAACCTGCTCAGAGCACATTTTGGGATGTTACACCGCAGCTGGAACTGCCTCTGTGTGGAACCAGCCTGAGGCTGGGAGAACATTTTGGGACCTTCCTGGGGATCCTGAGCATCCCTGAGCCAGCACCCCCTGTGCTGCCAGAGCCACCTGAGGGTCCCCTGTGTGTGTGTGTATGTGTGTGTTGTGTCCCCAGCATGGCTGTGGTGACACCCAGCTCAGGTCCCGGAGCCACAAAATCTCCCTGGGGTGTCCATGAGTGTCACAGACACATTTTATGAAAAATCCTTTCGCTAGCATCTTTTCTCCTGAGAAGCTGAGAGGCCTCAGGAGCAAAATGTAAAGAATGATTATCTGTTGCTGTGGAATGCAACAGGTGCATCTTTGGCTGGTTGTTTTTAATTAATGGCCAATCACAGTCAGCTGGCTCAGACTCTCTGGTCAGTCACAAGATTTCAATTATCATTCCATTCCTTTCTTTTCTAGCCTTCTGATGAAATCCTTTCTTCTAGTCTTTTAGTATAGTTTTAATGTATCATTTTATTTTAATATTATATATATAATAAAATAATAAATCAGCCTTTTGAAACATGGAGTCAAGATTCTCATCTCTCCCCTCATCCTGGGACCCCTGCAAACACCAGCACACATGAGGGACAGGGTTCCTGCTGAAGGACCCTCCTTAAGGCCCCTGCTCATGGGAGCAGCACTGGGAGATAATTTGAGACCATCCTATGTGGTTTTTCCTATTTTGTCCTTCTTTTCCCCTTGGTCTCAAGGCTGGTTGGGGACACCTAGCTGTGCCCATCCTCTGTGTTGGTTTGGAGCCTCCAAAGCCCTGATTTGAAAACATGAAAACCCCCCTGGGCATCCCTGGGCTCAGCAGAGGGTTTGGAGATGCAGGGAGAGGCACAGCCAGGGATCATTCACCCTGGTTTGGCATTCCCAGAGCTGCCCTGGCTCCTGTCCCTCTCCTCTCTCTGGTGACCCTGTCACATATTTCTGTGGTGACAATCCTGCCTCACAGCCAGGGCAGGGATCACCTTCCCCGGGCAGGGATTGCCTCCCTGGGTAAATTTAGCAGGCAGGGCAGACACTGTGGGCTCTAATTCCCTGTGACCCCTCTCAATCTGCATCTATTTGCATATAAACACTGGAGCGCCGTGCCAGGGTTAAAAATACCCAGGGACAGCAGGAGAGGAGAGAAAAGGGACCCTTGGCACACAAACTCCAGGTCTGGGCTCCTGCCAGCCCAGCTGAGAGCTGTGTGATGTGGATGCTGCTGTGGGTTTAAGGGAACGTGGCTGCACAAGGTGGGGCTCACTGCAGAGAGGGGCCAGGAGAGCTGGGCACAGCCTGGGGCTGCCCAGAGCAGGGGCAGAACCCCCTGGTGGGGTGTGGAAGGGAAACAAGGGGGTTCCAACAGCTTGTAGAGCTCTTGCTGCCTTCAGGCAGCGAGTTTGGGCGCTGGAGGAAACCCCACAGCCTCCCCTTGTCACTGCTGTGTGCCTGGGGCACATCCCTGCCAGCACAGCTCTGTGATCCCCGAGTGCCTGACCCTGCCAAATTCAAGCCTGGGATCGTCCTGCTGTGGCCTTACTTCAGCAGTGTGAAAAATGTGTATTTTATTGTTGGCTTTCTGCAAATATTCAAATGAAAATTATATGTGCTGTGTTAGAAAGTGATGCTGTATTAATTCTCTTAAGTAGTGTGTTAAATATAGTTTTGGGTTATAGCATAATGTTAAAATAGAAACTATGCTATGTAAGATATAAGAAAGGACTTGCACTGACATAGCAGCCACGTGAATCTTTCAGAGAAAGAGAATTTATTGCTCCATTATCAGAATAAATTAACTTCTTCCCACCTTGCTCAGCCCTGAAGACACTGTCAGGATCAGAGGAAGAAGCTGACACTGCCCAGACAGAATCCTGTGTTTGAATGGAATTTATGCACCATGGATGAGGTGTATGAATGTGCAACAGGCTGTTGCTTTTAAGGGTTAATCCTCTGTTAACATGGGTCCTTTTTTGGGCTTATTTTGCCCAGAAAAGGTACCCAGACCATCCTTTTGTTCTTATTGTCTTGTATTGACCTAATCCAAATTATTCAAATTTTTTATTACTGTAATTATATTGCTATTTTTATAACCATTTTATTACTAATAAACTTTTAAAAATTAAAAAAAACCCAAGTGATTTTCCACAAGCAGGGATGCCCCTGCACACACCAGAGCCCAAAAGGGTGACAGGAGCCCCTGCAGCCTCCCCCTCATGGATCTCCAGCACCTTCTCCCTGAACAAAACATGCTGCATTTCCCTTCCCCATTAATAACAGCTTCCACTGCCTGCTCCACTCCCCATCCCTGGCAAAACTCATTCCTGGCACCAGCAGCAGGAGGGGTTGCAGAGAGCCTGTCCCCAGGTGTGCTGCTGTCACCTGGCTCAGCCCTCACTCTGGGGACACCGCGGCCCTGCTGAGGCTGTGGTGAAAAACACCCAGATGTGCAGAGCTCCTGGCACCACCACCCCGATTTACAGCTGGCCCCCGGCAGCAGGCATGGCATTGTTACCATCATCATTGTTATCATTGTTATCATTGTTATCATTATTATTGCAGGGAAGTTTCCAGCGCGGCGCAGGGGCCTGCAGCACCACCTCCTGCCTTGCACAGGGGCTGATTTACACCTTGCATCCCCTCCCAGCCGCCCCAAACAGCTCAGACGGGGTCCCTGTGATGGCAGGGCCCCCCAGCACCCCTGGCAATGCCTCCAGTGCCCCACACCTACCTTGGGGCCATGGGAGGGGGGCTCTGCTGGCTGCTGCTCCCTCATGCCCCCTGTGTCCCCATCCCTGCCCGGGCACAGCGAGGGGTGAGCTCCAATGGTGCCACCTTGCCAGGGGCCACCCTGTGCCCAGCACGTCCCCACGTTTATATTTGCAGCTCTCCATGTGACAGCACTGCCCAGCTATGTGCCTGTGCCAACACACATGTCCCTGTCCCTGTCCCTGTGCCTGGGGAGGGGACATGCCTTTAACCCCCCCTAAAACACTTCTGCAGATGCTGCTGCTCCTCTTTAGGAGCTGCTGCCCGGTGAAATATAAACTCGTCCCGAGGCTGCATTGATTTTGTGCAGTTTTTATTGGAAATGAGATGATATTTAAGCATTTCCCTTTAACAGCTCTATATAACGTGGAAAGGTCTCGTGCTACAGTTGGTTTATAGTGGCTTATCTTTGTCAGGTGTAAATAATTCAATAAACCCCTCTCCAAACTCTTTCCAATTATAACTGCACAATTTTCCTTTTTCTTTTTTTCCTTTTTCCCCATCAATTACAGGAATAATAATAAAAAATATTGCTCTTAGCTTAAGTAAAAATGCAATTTGTCCCCACCTCCCTGCCGAAGAGCTGTTAATTATCCCCTGGGAATTCAGTCCTGGGGCACATCCTCTGTGGAAGGTGGAGCCCTCCCAGTTATTTACCCCCTGAGTTATGTGCTCATGGAATGTCACCCTGGGTGCCAGCCTGGAAAACCAGCTGGGCTGACCCTCATCACGTGTTCCCCAGCCAGGCTCAGGACTAGGGGCTCCTTGTGGGGTCCAAAATGTGGGATTTCCTCCTGGGATGGGAGACACCGAATCTGTGATTTGTGTGGCACCCTCGCCCCTCACGGACTGCCACCAAACAGGGTTTTGGGAAGGGCGACAGNTTTATTTTTGTTTTTTGGGGGGAGTTTTTAGGGGAGGGTTGGGGGTTTTATGGGTTTTTTTTAGGGATTTTTGGGGATGTTTTTTTGTTGTGTTTTTTGTTTGGGGTTTTTTTGTTTGTTTGTTTTGGTTTGGTTTTTTTTTTCATTTTTAGTTTGGTTGGTTGGTTTTCATTTGGTTTGGTTTGGTTAATTTTATTTTTTGTTGTTTTTTCCCCATGAACTGGTGCCTATCTGGCCAAACCTGGAGGTGTGTGGAAGCTCAGCACCCTCGCTGTGCCCGGGAGATGGATGCTGCCAGTCAGCTGCTCTGGCTCTGCTGTTGAGATTGCAGTGAGGCTGCTGAAATATGAGTTAATGGGCTTGCTTACATCCTCCTGAAATGTGCTCCTTCCATCACCCCAGCCCTGCTGTCAGCCCTGGTGTGCAGAGGAGGGCTCTGCTGTCGGCAAGATTGAGGGCAGAATTACCCAAATTAGTTTCCCTGTGCATGAGAGCAGAGATGAGGGGGTTTTAAACACCAAGCCTGTCAGCTCTTTGGAGCTTTTCTGCACAAGGATGAAGTTAGAAGTGCCTTATTTGATCAATCTGGGGTGTGCTGCTGAGTTTGGGCACCCACAAAGAAGAAGGGATGGGAAGCTGATGTTTGCAGCTGCATGCTGCCATGGATTGAAGCCAGGGGCTGGCAGCTCCTAGTGTGGGTTATCCCACATTATATCCCTCTTGTGGATGTTCCAGCAGCTGGATTTCTGCTGGGGGAAGGGCTGGTGTCCATCAGGAATGTCCCGAGGGGTGACACAGGGGAGATGGAACAAGAATTCCCTCTGTTGTTGCTCGGATCTCCTTGGTGGGGCTGGAGGTGCAGCCTCGAGGTTGGAAGGGGGAAACCATGGGGAGCCCTGAACCAGACTGTGAAATACAGCTAGGAAGGACCAGAGAAATCCCAAACTGGGGTGGCTCCATCCTGTGTGCTGGGGTAGCCTAAAGGGAGACAATTCCCTTTATTAACCAGGCCAATCCAGTTCACAGTGACACAACTGCTTGAATCCTTTTCTGTGCAGTCTGTTACACCCAGGAATCCTCCCAGGCCCTCCTGTGCCTGACATGAAGGTGCTGCTGCCTCCATGAGCATCCTATGGGGTGTCCCAACGCTTTAGAGTGTCCTTATAAATCCTTTGCCCTCAAAACTGCTGATTTGTAAGTAAACAACGCTCATGAAACAACAAACTGTTTGCTGTTTATGCAAACAAGCTAATCAGGCATTACTTTCTATGGCAAAATAGATTAAAACCAGATTTTGGTGGCCATCCACCCAAATCACCAGCTGGCTGCTTGGCTTTTTTCTGCTGACACCCACAGATATGAATTTGTCTGTGCTAAGGCCTCCAAAGGTGCAAGTGCTGTTCCTCCTGCAGCTGTGTAAATATCCAGCTTGTAGTGGATTGCACCAAGTGCCTTCTAATCCATCCCAATTAAAAAGCAGTCTTTAGAGCTGTAATGGTTTTATTGAGGACTGTAATGCTTTAGACCCACAGATATATAAAGCAGTTAGTTTTATAAAGCATATAGGATATTAAAGTAATGAAAGACATTAAAGTGACATCAATTTTTAAGGAGAGTTACTTGCTGAAATAAATGAGTATGGCCTAAAAGTTGATGGCATGTTACAGGCCTGAGTAATGAACCCTTCTGCCCCCTAAAATCTCTTAGAATAAATAATGCTTGAGCAAGTCAGTGGTCATTAACTCTTTATCCTCTGAGAGCTACATGTTACATCTCATCTGATTTTCTTCCCCTTTTTTAACTTTAATAAATCCATTCAGAGAGGAATTCTCTTCCCTGGAATACCTATAACATTAATTTGTCATGCCTTCACAGAGAAATAGAGTTGTGACTGGTATGGCCAGGTGAAAAATCCTTGAGGAAATTACTTTTTCCCTTTCCCTTTCCCTTTCCCTTTTCCTTTTCCTTTCCCTTTCCTTTTCTTTCTTTTTCCTTTTCCTTCTTCATCTGTTGCATGTTCTGCGAGCCACGCTTTCCCCAGCGGGGTCTTGCCATACCAGGCCTGGAGAACGAAAAAAGCATTTAATAAAAAAAAAAAAATAAAAATCCCCAAACCTCTTAAAATCCAGGCTGGCTGGTGGAGAAGCCAAAATGAAAGCCTCAGATCTCTTGAGAACATGATTATCCCAAGAAGTGCAGCAATTGATCGAGCTGAGTCTCATTAACAGCAATACTTAGCTGGGCCATTTGTGTTGCTATAGTTATGGAAATGTTAAATTCCATGATCAACCCCCATTTCCAGAGAATATAGCTCTTGTCAGAGCTCCCTCTGCTCCAGACTTGGCAACAGACAAATCATCCCCTCCTCGTGCCTCTGCAAATCGATGCAGACAGCTTTGATTTCCATGAGGGAGCTCAGGAAGCCAAACAAACCCCCAGCATTAAGAACCTGTTTATTGCTTTCAGATGCCTGCTCACAGGCCTGTGACTTGTAAATGATTCTGCTGGAGCTGCTCTGCACACTTGTCCAGCTCCTGGTGTCAGGGAGGCAGCTCCAGGCTGTGTCAGAGTGATGGGGAGTGAAGGAGAAGGGGAGGCTTTGAAGGCAGCCCTGGGTGGGAATTACTCCTTCCTTACTCCTTCCTTACTCCTTCCTTACTCCTTCCTTACTCCTTCCTTACTCCTTCTTCCCTACAAGAACCTCACTCAACAAAGTCCTGCCTAAACCAGAGATTCAGACTGTGCCAGGCATTGATAAAATTCCTTCCTGACCATGGGCTGCTATTTAATCTCACATCTCTGCCCAGGTCATCTCCAAGCTCCCTCCCAGTGTGGCATCCTGCAAAATCTGCCTTTTCCATCTGCTTTGCCCCAAATCCTGCTCCCAGCTTGAGCCTCTTCAGGCATTCCTGAAGAATTTGTCTTCTCCAGTGTGTGTTACAGGAAGAGAAGCTGGGAGAAGAGGTACTGGAAGGGAATAGGGAAGAAAAACTCAACATGTCCCTCTCCTGACCCCAGATGGTCCTTCCTGGTGCCACCTTTACAAGGTGGGGTAAAACATCCACTGCAGTTCTGCTTTAATTATCTGAATTAGCTGAGCATCTCACCTTCAAAACCCCGATAAAATCATTCTCCAGCCTCCTGGGTGCCCACATCCAGGCAGGGCATGGATGGTGGTGGCAGGAACCCCAGTGAAGTTGAACTTTTGGCTCTCAGTGAAGTTGAATTTTGCTGCCTCAGTCCCAGGCCAAACTATTCCAGGTTTTGGGAGAACCACAGAGCTGGGCTGTGTTGCTGTTTCTGGCCCATCCCACGAGAGGGATGAGGTGGGGACTGTGAGTTTGGGCTCCCTGGCAGAAGCTGAGGGAAGCCAGGAGAGCCCAGTGATATCTCTGCCCTGGATGAGACTCCACAAGGCCACAGGGATTTTATTTCCCCCTCAGTTTTGTCTCCTGGGTGTAACACCCTCCAGACCTTCTGTGGGAGGTGGAGAGGGTGGGGAAACCTTGCCAAGAGCTTTCTGGGAGCTTGGTGGGGTGGAAAGAGCTGTTTGAGCATCTCCCTGCCAGCTCTGGGTCACTGGCAAAGGACTCGAGGCATTTGGCAGGAGAAGCCAAGAGACCCTGGATGTCTCTTTTTGTTCTCTTCCCAATTCTTTGTGCAAATATTTCAGTGCACAACAGTAACTTTTTGTCTGTTTAGCTGGTGGAGCTGTTCCATGAAATTAGCTCCTCAGACACAGCTAAAATTAAAGTCCATTTACCACCAGCAGCTGAACTGGGGATGGAAGTTACTGGCAGCAGCGACTGATCAGTGTTAAAATATTTGGCTTTTGGAGGAATGATGTCCACAGGCTTTGGAACGGGTTCTCTTAGGTATTTCTGTGGCTGCCACATCCCTGGAAGTGCTCAAGGCCAGGCTGGATGGGGTTTGGAGCAACCTGGGATAGTGGAAGGTGTCCCTGCCCATGGAATGGGGTGGAACAAGGTGGGATTTAAGGTCCCTTCCAACCCAAACCGTTCCATGATTTTGGTCCAGTCACTACCAGGCAGAATTGGTGTGGTGAGCTGGCTTTGCCTCTCCAGAAATCCCTTCTGTGTAAGGATTTATATCAACCACCCTGGTGCACTAATTTATAATTTCAAAAAATGGGAATGTGTAATTGGGGCAGAAAATTGAGTAAATGGAAGGCAGAAATCACATTGTCATCAAATTTTGCATTATTTATACTCATTTTGGAACACTGGCAGAATATAAATGTCAGACTGGGAGATTCATGCTTTCAGGGAAGAAAAACCCAAGATTCATCACAGGGCTAATCTTCACTTGGAACACAGTGTTTTAGCTGCCCCACTTCCACAGGGGACACAGCAAAGCAAAGGGAAAGGTCCAGAAATGGCAGTGATTGGAAGCTTGGGAAGAGGGGCTTCTGTGTGAGGAGAGATGGGGATTACTAGAGTTAATTAATGCACAAGGCTATTTTGACAATCCTGCTCCCCTGTGCCATATCTCAGGTGCTGCAGCAAGGCTCCGTGACATTTAAAAGGGAAACAAAGTTCCACCAGATATAAGGAAATACTTTCTTAAGGGCTGTAATTAATGCAAGGAGATGATTGCCATGGGATGCTGAGGACAGGATCATTTGAGCTGTGTTCCAAATGAAGGGCTGCCTGGGCACTTTGTGCTGTACAAAACAGGAACATTTTATAGTGCCTGGGATAATATTTTCAAGTTAAACTCACACTAAATACTTGCTCTCATGTTTCAGGGTACAAATGGATTACTACTTGGAGCTGGGAATGATGGAGTATTTTTTTTCCTCTTTGCTGTAACACTGAACCATTAGCCTTTCCCTGAGGAGAGATAGTGGTTTAGTGAGCAAGCATGAGGAAAAAAAAAAGGGTAATTTGCCAAATATCACAAATTCTACATGTGCTGAGTGAGCCAAATGGCTCTAAATGGAAATTGGGAAGTACTCAGCAGGGCTGGAAGAAATGTGCACTGTCATTAGGTCAGCAGTGGGAGAAGCCTTGGAGAACACTGTGGGAATCAGCATCCTGGTTGTGCTGGGAGCTGCTGGGGGGAGCAGGACAACAAGGAAACCTCCCAGCCAGGAAAGGTTCCTGGCTGAAATTAGATTACAGGAATTATTCCAAATAATTCCTAGAAGCAGTAGGAATTATGGGGGCCATGGGATGGAGAAAGCTCTTTTGGGGTCTCCTGGAGCAGTCCAGAGGTCTCACCTCACTGGGAGACAGCAGGGCTCTGCCCAGTGCCCAAGGACTTTGTAGCATTTATCAAGCTGGAAAGTGATCCATGGGTACTTGAGGCATGTGTGGAATCACAGAATCCCAGACTGGTTTGGGCTGGGAGGGTCCTTAAAGCTCATCCCATCCCACTTCTTGCCATGGCAGGGACACCTTCCACTATCCCAGGCTGCTCCAAGCCCCATCCAACCTGGTCTGGGACACTTCCAGGGAGCAGCAACAGCTTTTCTGAGCACCCCGTGTCAGTGAAAAAAATACACCTCAAACTCTCAGTTCTGCCCTCAGGATTTTATAGCCCTGAGCGATGGAGCTTGAGGCAGAAACTCATTTATTTTAAAGCCTGGAAGGAAAACTAGATTCTAAAGAAATTATTTTTGAAATTATTTAAGAGAAGGGCTTAGAATGGATATTGAATGGCCAGGTGCTTTGCCTTCTCAAGGTGATGTATCCAGGCTTGCTGAACACCTCAGGTCTGGAAGGGAAAGGACAAATGCATGGAATTGATGGTCCCTGTGTGTTTTATCCATGCATATGGGAGGCTACTCTGCTCAACATGAGCAGCAGCAGGTTCACCAAAGAACCTGCCAGCTGTGCTGCCAAAATAAGGACTGCTTTGGCACATCCAGCTGGGGGGAGATGGGTTTTGGTGCTGTTGAGCCCTAAATCACCTCTCAAATGGTGAGGTGCCAACCCACCAGCACAGTGAGCAGGTCCCTGCACCACGTGTGGCTGGACATGGCAGGGGATGTGTCCCAGACTGCAAGGCAAGATGTATTCTGTTACCATCTGCATGGCAGCTGTCTTTTGTCAAGTGGGCAGCTTTCCTTATCTCTTCCACACCCACTCCTCCCTCTGGGGAGACACCTGCTGATAACAGCTATGGAATGTCACTGCATGGCTGATAAGAACTGCAGCATCCCATTGGGAGATGGGAGCCCAGAGGGAGGAGCCAAGCATTCCTGCCTGGATATAATCTGGAGGTTCTGGAACACCAGCACAGCTTCTGCACTGGATTCCCCAGAGGAACAGCAGCTGCCTCTGCCCCTGGACCTTCAGAGCAAGAATCCATCCTTCTACAGGATCCTGCTCCAGCAGAACCAGCCCTGACACTGCAGGAGGGCTGAGCCACAATTCCAATGGGACTGCTGCCAGCACCCTGACCCAAAGGGAGTCAGGTTGGGTTCTGACTCTGTCAGTGTTGTTTTAGTTTACTGCATTGTTTCTTTTATCCTTTTATTTTTTTTTTCTTTTCCCTATTAAAGAACTGTTATTCCCTGCTCCCATATTTTTGCCTGAGAGCCCCTTAATTTAAAATTTATAGCAATTCAGAGGGGTGGGGAGGGTTTACATTCTCCATTTCAGGGGAGGCTCCTGCCTTCCTTAGCAGACTCCTGTCTGTCCAAACCAAGACAAATGACAAAAGACACGAAACAGAGAATTCACCTGGAACGCTGCTTCCTCCTCGTTGTACACTGGGTCGTGTCTGGCCAGGGAAGTGACAAACTCAACAGTCCTCAGGGGCTTCCTGGCCATCTGCAGCAGCCTCAGCTCAGTCAGCACAGCGTGCACCACCTCCACAACGTGGCCCTGGGTGTAGCCATCTGACATGTGTGCCAGGCAGTTGAGGTTCAGCAGCTTGGTGAGGGTCCCACCACCCTGCAGGATGTAGTGCTTCCACAGGGCTGAGCACCAGGACATGCAAAAGAGACAATGCAAAGACAGAAAATCAATGAAAGCAGGAGAAAGATATTTTATTATTATTTATTTTGTTACTGGAACAAGAAAATAAGGACTAATAATTAGGAAAGCCAAAATTCAAATTTTTTTTTGTGTGCTCTCTTTTCCCTTCAGATTTGCAGCATAGGGCTTTTTAGGCATGAGTGCTTTTAAACCCTTACTGAAAATTTTTGGTTTGTGCCAGTGCCTTTCACTACTGAATTTATGGTCTAGTTATTCAAAGGCAGGCAGGAAACAATCAATTTAAAGAAGGAAATCCTTATTTCTAGAATAAATCCTTATTTCCAGCTCAAATATAATAACATTTTATTATTATTTATTTTGATACTGGAACAAGAAAATAAGGACTATTGATCAGGAAAGCCAAAATTCAATTTTTTTTTTTTTTTGGTGTGCTCTCTTTTCTCTTCAGATTTGCAGCATTAGTGCTTTTAAACCCTTACTGATAATTTTTAGCCATCAGTCAGTGCTTCTCAGCAAGTCCTTGAGGGCACACAGAGTGGGCTGGGTATGTGTGTAAGAAGGGAAAGAACCACTTGTGTGTCCACAGAACCTGTCCAGTGCTCCCATTTGGATGTGCAGAGTTTAATGCCTTTACCACCAGCCTGTTTTTATTTCTCTGACCCTCATCACAGCTTATTCCTGCTGAGCTGAGGGGCTCCATGTCCCAAAGGCTTCCAGCTATCAAGCACATGTTTAAAGGTGCAAATTTTCTGTGATTGGGGTTTTGCTGGTTACTTGAAAGGTGAACTTGGTTGTATCTTTTAGCTGTGAACTTCTGTGACCTGATTGATTTCTTTGGGGTTGTGAAGTGGCTGAGATTTTGTTCCCAAAGAATAGGAATAATACCAATTTTTTGCTTTGTTTTATGTTGAGTAAAGCTGTATTTCAGAGAAATTTAGGAGAGCTTTGATGCGGCCTCCTCAGGCTTTGCTTTAAAGCATTACATAGAAATATTTGGAAAAGATTAGGAGGATTATGGATAAGAGGTTAAAAAGTTCCTTGAATGAGACATTTTGAGTCTGCTGTGCCTGAATGCTCAGATGTAGCATGAAGATGTTGGGTGGAGGTTGGTGCTGCTGGAAAAGCTGCCTTGTTCTCCCCTGGACATCAATTCCATGGACTGGAGCCCATAACTATTGACAGCTCTGCTCTGCATTTCTCACTCCAGCAATTTGTGGTCTCCCACTTGCCTCGTGCTTGTGCTCAATAAATATTGGCTGAATCACTAATTCATAAAAGAGGAATTGATGCACACAGGCAGACATTGTGTGCTGCAGCTCCTGGTGCAGGTGTGTAACACAAGGCACTGCCTTGCTGGGTGATTAATGGCAAGAAATCAGTATGGGATTGTGAATCTTCCAGTTTAATGATTTCCATTGTATATTTACTGCTCCCACTGAGCACAGATTGGAATCCTCTGCTCTGTAACCAGAGGGAGGGCTGCAGCACACAGGTACCTGTGCACTGTGTGTTACAAGTATTTGTTATGTCATTATTTTTCTGTCAAAACAAGTTTCTTTCCTTCTCAAAGGGGGTGTCAGGCACTGAAAACTGACAGCACTGGGAGCTGAAGATCCTATTTCCATAGAACTTCAGGGAAGCTTGGGGCTGAAGAACAAGCCAGGCACTGTCTGAAATGGGGCAACATCAAAGAATTAAAGCCACACCTTTATTCTGCTTTAAAATGCCACAAGTTAACTTTTTTGGGCATTTTGAAGCGTGCAGTTGAAATCCCTTGAGCTGGCCATTTTTTGGACTCCAGGTTAGTGGTGAAAGTCCCAGAATGTGGCAGTTCAACCCCTAGAAGTGAGCACAGGTAAATTCAGCTGCTGTCACCTCCTTTCTCTGGGTTTTGCTCATGTCTCCTTATCTCTCAGCAATTCCTCAGAGCTGTCACCTAACAAGAAACACTTGTTCCCTTGGTTGGTGACCATTTCCCATCCACAGCAGGAAAATGATGCAACCTGGGAGAGGTTTGCAATGTGCTAGGCAGCCAAACTCTGTCCTGGGCTCACCCAGATGTGCAACACCTGGGTGCCTGGGCTGCCCCTGAGGGATGCAGGATGGAACTGGACTGCACAATGTGTTTGTCAGAGTTTTGTAACAAGGTGGCAATGGACAGAGCAGAGAGTGCCTGTGTGCCAAGGTCCCTGAGCCAAAGGGGTTTTCTTTTATTGCTGTTTATTGCAGATTTCAGGGTGCTTAAAACCTCAAAACATTGGAGGTTTGTTTTATTAGAAAATACCCCTGTTTTCCTTGAAAGCTTTGAGTCTCAGTACATGGAATATTCAATGATTTTGTCAGAATTGGGCAGGGCTTGTTTATCACTGTAAATATTTGACAGACCAGACATGCAAAATCATGGATGCCTGTACAATTTCTCTCGTGATCTGTAAGCACAAAAAGTGGAATTTGTGAGAGAGAAAATTTAGTACTCCTGACATGGTCTGGTTTTGGAGAGGCTGAGAAGTTGTGTTGTTTGGAGTATGGAGACTGGAAATTCAGAACTGCAAACTGGAAACAGAAATTCAGAAGCAATGTGTTAAAAAAAATTAAAAATTAAAATATAAAATATGTGCTGAGATGGGGTGGGAGGGGACCAGCTCAGCTTGGCGCACACTGAACTCATGGAAAAATGTGAATTGGTGGTGAAGAGTATTTTAAATTATTCTCCTAGCTTCCACCTTTATTATTTGGCCTTTGGAGGAGCCTGTATTGATTTAACCTACATTGCCAGGACTTGAGCCACACCAGAGGCATGACTTGAGCTGAAGGGCAGTTCTGAGGATGACCAGGCAACAAGCAGGGATTTGAAGCAGTGGGATTAACCCTGAGGATGACTGAAATACTTGCCAAATCTTGTCAGGTAGTCAGGCTTTGAGATGAGAATGATTTTCTGGTAGAGTTTGCAGAAAGGTCCCACATTGGCATCAAAGGGTCTCCTGGTGGTGCCCACGAGCAGAACCCTGTCCTTGGGTTTCAGAGTCCTCAGGAACTGGGGCAGCAGCCTGGCCAGGCGCTTGAAGTTCACCTGCAGCACGTGGGAACAGGAGAAGGAAAGAGTTGTTAAGGATGCTGACAGCTCAGAGTTAATGAGCTGGAGCTGGACCTGCTGCCTGCAACAGGATTTTGGGTTTTTTTCAGTGCTCTGGTTGTATTTGGTGTGAGCTGGTGAGATACCAACACAAGCAGAAAGATTCTGCCTCCTCAAATTGAGATAAACACTGGATTTCTGCTTCTGTTTTTGTTTTGGTTTGTGCCAGTGCCTTTCACTACTGAATTTATGGTCTGGTTATTCAAAGGCAGGCAGGAAACAATTAATTTAAAGAAGGAAATCCTTATTTCCAGCTCAAGGAGAAATATTGCAGGGACCTGCACACCTGATGAACCTCGACAGGTAGAAAATTGTAACCTGGCTTGGAATCCTCCCAGCTCTTGGAGGTTATGATTTTCTGACTTCTAAGTGTGAAAAATACACTCCCTATTTTTTGCTGTGCTTTTTAACTTTGCTGAGGCTCTGAGAACAAAGGTTCTGGGAGCTAAGGGTTCATTTCTTTGCAATAATTTACTGCTTGACTTTGTAACACATTTTTAACTGCTGCTTACAGAGCAAATGAGTATAGAGCAGAACCTTTTATTGGAGAACCTTTTATATCAAATATTATTTATATTTGATAATGTTCAAGTGAATATTGGCTGAAGAAGCCTCACCAGATTGTTGTAGTGTCATTACTGTTAATCCATAAGCTTTCCCACAAGTTTTTGGGTAGAGTAGCACTTTTTTTCCCCTAAATAAGCTTGTCTTAACACAATACATTTGGTGGATCATTCCTTTGCTTCTCATGGTCATGCTGTGCATTTCTGTCACCCTGGGATGAGCACAGTGACTGGTACTTGCTTTGGCCTCTGAAGGCTGAGCTTAGCTCATCTTTTAGGATGGGCCTGGTCTGGTGGAAGATGTCCCTGCCCTGCAGGAGGTGGAACCAGGTGAGCTTTAAGGCCCCTTTCAACCCAAACCATTCTCCAAAATTCCAGCACTCTGCCTGTCCTCCCAGGTCCACGCTCTCTCCTCTAAGTGTTGGGTGTGCTGTGAACAATTTGGGATGTGTGGGATCCCAAGCCTGGAGCCAACAGGCTCCCACCAAGGGGGAATGTCTTGGGATGGGTACAAGGGCCAGAGGGGACACCCTGGACTCTGAAGTGGGCAGGACAAGAAAGTTTTCCACACAGATGGCAAAGCAAGCAAGGATCATGAGTAATCCAGGCCATTTTGGGCCCCTAATCTTAATTTTAGTCCCCATCTGCATTCTCTGTCAGGGTTTGAGCCCAAGAGAAAGGTTCCCTCCCACTGTGGGGACCACTAAGGGTCCCTCTGATGCCTTGAGAGGCTGCCCTAGAACAGAGGCTGGACAGAGTTACAGAATAAAGCAGGGATTGATTAAAAGGATCTCCTCAATGGACACACCTTGGGCAGCACAAGAGCCCAGCCAGGGCTGCACCCAAGATGAAACAAAATGGTCACAAAGTGGATGACTGGTCACAAGGTCTCTAACTTTTAAAAGTTCTGCTCCATTTGCATATTGGAGTTAATTGTCCCATTACAGCTTTAGGTTATCAAATCTCATCCTTCTTGTTTTTCTCTCTCCAGCCCACGGTGTTTGTGCTCCTGGGCTGAGATTTGGATCATTTGTCCCTGGTGCCCAGCTGGAGCAGGAATTGTTCTGTCTCCCTGCTCTGTGCACAGAGCTCACCAACCCATAATACGAAGTTCAGACCCACACACTGGAGCAGCACAGAATGTGAAAATACAAAAGCTCAAACCTGAGGCATCACTCTAAGGATCCCTGCACAGCCACCACCTCACCTAGCCCTGGCAGAAGGAACAGCCCCAGCCAGGGTTGGGTTGCCTTGTGCTGCCTTTCCAAAATACATTCTTGTGACCACCCCACAGACACTCTAAGTAAAAAAGGTTTAATTTTTCACATAAAGCTCTAATAGCAAAATATTCTGCAGGCAACAGGAACTGGGGCGGTGTTGTTGCTGTGAATATGGGGCAGAATTTCATTTTCTTTCCAATGGGGAAGTCCCACAGGAGAGGAAGGAATGGAAGCAGTGGCATTAGGACTCCTGAGAGCCCAAAGAAAAGAATCTCTAATTGTAACTATTTAACACAGGCTCATTGTTTTTGCAGTGGAAATCTATCCTTGTTACTTTATTGTTCACTTTGGCTCCATCCAATTTCTCAAATTAATAGAGCTGAACAATTTAAGCTCATCTCAACTTTTAGCTTCTTGCCTCATATTTTGAAATTCTCCATTATTCCCTTTTACTTTCCAGGGCACTGATGAGCAGTGACTGGACTATTTTTAAATAAAGCAAGGATAGGTGGAAGAGAGAAATGTGACCTCTTGGGGGCTCTTAAGAAGTCACAAGACTCTCTTAAAAGCTAAAAAAAAAAGAAGTTAGTGAGACAAGCTATTATCAAGCAAGCTTTGGCAGGTCTGGCCATAGTGCTATGTGCTTTGTGTGGGCTGTAGTGCAACAGGAGAAATTATCTGCACTGAAATAAAGAAGAATTCACCTCATCTTCTCCCTTTGTTGCCCCTTTGGAATATATTCTCTCTGTGTCTCCAATCCACACCACTGAAGGCTGCAATTCCTTGCCCACCTAGGAGAAAAGGCAAAGAGTTGATTAAAGCAGCTGCAGTTTCATACCTGGGAGCCTGTCACTGGGCTTTTGTATCCAGATTGCAGCAGCTCAATTAGTCTGGCTCATTTTTTATCCCTGGGATTGTTGAGCAGTTGTGGAAAGCAGTGCTTGGCAAATCCAACTCTTTCTAGTCAGGAATGGAGCATTAAGAGCCCACCCCAGACTGGATCATTTTGTCTGCTATGCTTATCTTTAATTTCTCAGCACACATTCAGTTGTGCTCCTGCAAGAGGAAGCCTGGATTTGGTGTTCAGTGGAAAATCATGGTCCAAGGGCAGCTTTAGGATCCCACCCTGCTTTTCTGGATGGGGACACAGGCAAGGCACGGCTGCTGCATGAGAGGGAGGGCACTCTAAGCAAAACAGTTTGTCAATCTTCTGGTTGAAACATTTAATTTGCAGTGAGCCCAAGAATTAAATTTGAAGGAGTGTGTGTGTGTGTGGGGGGCATTGCCCAAAATTGGTTTTTCCTGTTCCGAAGTGGGAGGCTCGATACCCCTGGTTCACAGCAGGATGGCAGCAATGCTACAGGCTTTTTCCATATCCTGCACTCTTCCCCATTGCTATAGAAACGCCAGAGGTTGAGCCATTCCAGAGGTTTAGACACTCTGCTGCCAAATTTTAATCACTTTCCAGTGGCTCTCAGAGTTTGCTCAGCAACAAAAAGTGACGGCTCGAGGAGTCAGCGGTAACGAGAGAGAGAGAGACAGGCACAGCTTCTTTCTATCCTGCCTTTTGCTTTTTTTTATTTTTTTCCTTTAATTCCCCCTAGTTGAAGCTGCTGCTTCCAGGAAGGCAGCTGACAAAACCCAGGGGCTGTGTACATCACAGGCTGCTGGCTGATTGGCAGCCAGGCAGGAGGAATTGAGTTGTGAGCAGCTCTGCAGCTCATTTTGGTGGCTGTGTTTCAAAGGGTGAGTGTGGGAGTGCAGGAGGGGTGGGCTGGGGATGGGGGAGAGCACGGGGAACAAGGGCTGGTCACTTTGTTTGCTGTGCTGCTGGTGGGGTGAAGTGGGAGCAGTGCCACCTTCAGTGTGTGACACTTTGATGGGTGGCAGCTGGTCAGTTCTAGAATACGTGAGGTGATACCTCCAAGTCCAGTTGGATTGTAGAACTCTGGAATGGTTGGGGCTGGAAAAGATCTTAAAGCTCATCCCATTCCACCCCTGTGCCACTGTCCCAGGCTGCTCCCAGCCCTGCCCAGCCTGGCCTTGGGATCCAGGGGCAGCCACAGCTGCTCTGGGCACCCTGTGCCAGGGCCTGCCCACCCTCCCAGGAACAATTCCTTCTTCCCAATATCCCATCTAAACCCACTCTCTGGCAGTTTAAATCCATTCCCCCTTGTCCTGTCCCTGCAGGCCCTTGTAAATAGCCTCTCTCCCTTTTTCTTGTAGCCTTTTCAGGCACTGGAAGTGATGCCTCAGGTTTTAGCTTTTATATTTTTCACATTCTGTGCTGCTCTAGTGCATGGGTCTGAGCTTCATACCAAGGGGATGGTGAGCTCTCTGCACAGAGCAGGGAGACAAAACAATTCCTGCTCCAGCTGGGGACCAAGGAGAAATGATCCAAATCTCAGACCCAAGAGCACAAACAACGCGGGCTGGAGAGAGAAAAACAAGAACGACCGGATTTCATAACCTACAGCTGGAATGGGACAATGAAATGCAATATCCAAATGGAGCAGAACTGATCAGAGTGAGAGACCCTGTGACCTCATGACCATTTTGGATCCATCTTGGGTGCAGCCCAAAGTGGATCCATGGAGGCCTTTTAATAAATCCCTGCTTTATTCTTTAGCTCTGTTCAGCCTCTGTTCTAGGGCAGCCTTCACAGGGCATCAGGAGGGGCTCTAAGGTTACCCTCAAGCCTTTTCTTTTCTAGGCTTGACAATCCCAAAGTATCAGCCTTTCCTTGTAGGAGAGGTGCTCCATCCCTCTGATCAGATTGGTGGCCTCCTCTGGTCATGTCCTTCCTGAGCTTCTTCCTTTGGTGGATGGCAGGAACTCAAGTATTTAATGTTAATAGTGAAGATGGAAAAAAATAAAACCAACTTATTAGAAAAGATATCACATCCCTGGGGAGCCTGTTCAGTGCCTGCTGCTGCAGTGGGAAACAAGGGTGGGGAAAGGTTACAGAGGCTACAAAAGCTGTTGGCAAAGGTTGGACACTGCTGGTGTCTCTCTTTGTCTTTCTGGTGGGGTCACCACGGGCTGGGAGGCGCAGGTATTCCTTGTTTGGCTTGGAGATGGTTTCTGTGCTGAGCAGACCCCTGAAATGCAGCCTAGGTCTGAAACCAGATTATACCTTCATTTTTACAGGAGAACACTCACTGTGGTCACATCTTTCATCTTCTTTGCCCCTTTTGTTTCCCCACTAAGTGGAAATAGAATGAATAACCTCAGTTTTGGCCCCTAAAGAGAGAATTCCCTGTGTTTTCTGTTTTGAGGCAAAGAGCCAAATGGAGAATATGGCCTGCATGTGTTTGTTGCCCAGAAAAGCGGTGGATGCTCCATCCCTGGCAATGCCCAAGGCCAGGCTGGACTCTGGGGCTTGGAGCAGCCTGGGAGAGTGGGAGGTGTCCCTGCCATGGCAGGGTGGCACTGGATGAGCTTTAAATCCCTTCCAACCAAGCCATTCCATGATTTGTCAGGTGTTAATAGACATTCACAGAACGCAGTCCAACACACTGTGTTTGAGCCTGGCTGTTTCTTCTTGGGAATCCAGATGAGACCCCCAGAATCCACTGGCATCTAATTTAAATTGTTGGCAGATCTGTAGCTGCCTGTATATCCCCCTGTGAAATGCTCCATTTGAATTATCCACGGACAGTTTGAATCCATGGATAATTAAATGCACTGTACATAATTAATTTGTAATTGAAATTTTATTAGCTTCGCTGCAATTCCACAATTTGTTGGAGCTGCCAGCAGATGGCCCCTTAACCCTTCTAATACCACACTGAGTGAGATTTGCTCTTTGGGAAAATCATTATGGGGAAAAAAAAATAAAAATCCCTCTCATCCCGCTGTCAAGAGTCACCAAAGATCAAACAGCACTTTTGAAAGCCTTGGGTTCAGCTTTTCAAACCTGGGAGCCAGAGTTTAACAGTTAAATTGTTACACTTGAAAATGCAGCAATGTGATTCTTGCCCAGGACATGTTGCACAAGGCTCCTCCAAACTTGAAGGATTTGATGGATTTTTGTTTTTTAAAGGCCCAAGATTTTTTGAAAGCTCAAGTTATTGCTGAAAAACTTAGTGCTCTGTAGTTTATACCCCCAGAAATGCTGCACTGAAAGCTGTGATCAGACCTGATCAGCAGGAGCATCACCAGGTAAATATTCCTGTGCTACAGAGATGATGCCACTGCATTCTGGTTTGTGAGGCAGAAAATGACTTGCATCAGGATAAATTTAATTTTTAACCTTAGGGTAACACAAGTTCAAGCTGCTTTCTCACAGAAATAATTGCATATTTGAGCACTGTTTGATACTTAACTCTTCAGGGATCTAAGAATTACAGCAGGCTGAGCTGCACCAAGAGCAGAATTGTTTTGGATGCTGGAAGAAAGACTCATTGTACTGTTCCCAAATTTTAGCTGTGGTGGGAGAGTCTTGTGGCATGGAAATGCTAAACACACAGAGAATTCTGTCAGTGTAGCAGGACAAGCTCCTCAACCTGGCAGAACAATGGGCTGGCTGACAATACAGCAGTGCTTATGAACAAATGAACACAAATCAGTGGGAAAAAATTAAATTAATGGCAGACTTCAAAATTCTGTTGCTTCTAAATGCTGGGGTTGTGTAATGTAATTAAATAAACTGCATCACATCCCTTTTTTGGGTGTAACACTTGTACAGTCACCTCTGAGTTGCTAAAGAGCAGACCCAAAGAGGCTGATAAGAATCCCCCAGCACTGATGGTGCTGAAATATTCCTGGACAATATTAATCTCTGTGGCCCTGCACTGCACACATCGAGCTGCTGGCACACAAACACAGCTTCCCTGCTGGCATTTCCTCCTTCCTGGCCATCTCTCCCCAACCTTTCAGCCTGGCCAGAGCTGCTCTGAGGAGGTTTCCCCAGGTGTGGCTCGGGGCACAATGAGCTCTGTGTCCTGCAGAGAGGATGGGTCCCTCTGCTCGGGATTAACCCCCTGCTTGGCATTTTATTGCCTGCAGCTAAAGCTCTGACCTACCTGGGCTTTTGTGTCACTGAGCTGTGCATTCTGCCCTCTGCCCTTGCTCCTTTCTGGGTCTGATTTTGCTTCCATGCCTCCCTCCCTGCCCTTCCTTGCATCTCTCCTGGATTTTATGGGGACATAGGAGAGCCAATTGGCACAAGCTGGCAGCTCAGGCTGGGAAATGGGGCTTAATTGGAATATTACAGGGTGGAATATTTCAGTTAATATTTAAATATTAAATTAGTAGTATTTCATTAAATTGTTACATAATATTACATTATTATTGTATTTTATTATAATGTATAATATATAATTATAATATAATATAATATAATATAATATAATATAATATAATATAATATAATATAATATAATATAATATAATATAATGTAATGTAATGTTATATTATATTATATCATATTATATTATATTATACAATATTATCTATAATATGATATAATGATATATAGTTATATTATACTATAATTATATTATATCATACTATAATATTCTATTAAGATATATAATATGATAATATAGTATTATATTGAAGTATCATATTACACATTAGAAATAAATAATATTTACTATTGAAATATTAAGTAAATAATATTTCAATAAATTGTTGTGTAATATTACATTATTATTGTATTATATTATAATGTATTATATATAAAATATTAAATATTATATAATAGTATACATATTATTATATTGCAGATTAAAATAAACAGTAATTAATATTGAAATATTAAATAAATAATGTTTCATTACATTGAAATCGTTACATGATATTACATTGAAATAAATAATATTTCGATATTATTTTATAAATAATATTTTAATATTAATTTTATAATAAAAGATAAAAATATATTTTATTGAAGTAAATAAGATTCCAATGTGGAATATTCTGCTTCACGCTTCAATAGTGAGTTTTGTTCTGGGGGGGGGATTTCTGGGAAGTGCTTCTCTGCTGGACAGAGATCCTCCCCTTTTTGCTGTGAAGCAGAGCTGCCCTGGCAGGATTTGCTCAAGCTTGGTGTTTGCAGCCTCTTTTAATAGTTTCCCTATTCAATATCTACCTCCCTTCCATCTCTGAACAGGCAGATTGAAACGCTGGTGTTTCTGCTCTGGTATGAGAAGTCATTTCCTCTGGATGACATTAAAATGCCTGCCTGGAGTCTCACTCGAGCCTCTCTTGGATCAGGGCTGCTGTGTCTCCTGTGAGTCCCCTCCCCGAGAAAGGGAGGGGGGGAAAAAGCATTTTGCTTTTGCATCTGAAACAAATTAAAGTTTCATTTTTTCCCCAATCCTATTCACTTGTTTAGGGCGTCTCCCACCAAACAAGTGCCAGCAGCCAACACTTCGTTCATGGAAGGAAAGTTTCCTCATGGTCATTTTATGCTCTCCAGAGTTTCCTTTCATTGCAGAAACTCTTTTGTTTGCATATAGGACAGGTAATCAAAAGTGTGAGGTGACTTCACCTATCCCACAGAGCACCATAAATTCTTATTTACTAAATCCTTGGTTGTGTGGATCAGAATTTAAGAGGTAAAGAGCTGTCATGTTTCCTGTCCTTCACTCACAACTTGCAGTGCCAGGTCTGCATTTTGCTTGACTAACTCTCCATAAAGGCACTTCTGGGAAGCTGGAGTACAGAGCTGCCTTGACAACAGTTGCTGTTTCCGAAAAACGCTGCCCAGAAGTGTCTGATTATAGAGATTTGGGGCATTTTCAGTGATCTCTGCACACAGGGCCCTCAGATGGGGGGTACTGTGATGGGTCAGGTAAGACTGAGAGCTGGGAATAGTAAATATAAAATATCACCTGCAAGCTACCAACGACTTCCATGGTTTGTCTGCCACATGTGCCACTGTCCAGTGTAGTCTTACATTAACCAAATAACCAGATTTTTGTACCATGGTGAAAAATGAACTTTTCTGGGGAGAGCAGTTACCAGTGCTCGGCTTTCTCTTGTCAAGGAATTTGTTTTGAATGTGTGTTGTTTTTTTCAGCTTGGGTAGCAGTAAATTCCTGCAGGATATAGGAGATTCCTTGTCCTTTAGCTCCTCATAAAACTTTCTCCTTAATACACAAACAATTTCCCTTGTTGCTACTTGTGCCCATTTCTTCTTGTCCCATCTCTGTGCACTCTGGGCAAAGTCTGACTCTGTTCTCTGTGTTATCCCATGAAAATCCTGAAAACAGCAGCTAAACTCCCTCTCACTCCAGCTTTATTTTAACCCCAAACAGCTGGATTTGTCCAGATGTGTCTCACACTCCTGCCCCTTATCTCCACAGCTCTCCTCTGGAGCTGCTTGTCAAGGCCTGTTTTAACTGGGCAGTCCAGTTGTGGTCTCATAAATGCCCAATAACAGGGAATAATTGATAATTTTAAGGTGTTTGCTATATTCCTGCTGGTACAGGCAGGTATTTGGCTGAGTTAGTGCTGCTGAACTGGAGCAGGGAGAGGGGGCAATGAGGCACATTTGGCATTGTCAGGAATAAAGAGGTGGAAATTCTGTGGGGTAGGATTGTTTCCAGCCTGGCTCTGGGAACCTACAGGCTCTGAGCTGAAATGCTCAGCCATGGGGACAGAGGGTGATGGGAGAGCTGAGACCACCACAGGAACTGGGAATGCAGATGGAGCACAGTGGATTGGGATGCTGCTAGGACAGGCCAGACTGGTTTGGGTGGGAAGGGACCTTAAATCCCATCCAGTGCCACCCCTGCCATGGCAGGGACACCTTCCACTGTCCCAGGGTGCTCCAAGCTCCATCCTACCTGACCTGGGACACTTCCAGGGATGCAGGGGCAGCCACAGCTGCTCTGGGCACCCTGACAGGGAAGGATTGAACACCCAGGAAAGAGAAACCCTGTGCTGTTCAAGCAGCAGGGTTTGCAGCAGTGCTGCAGTTGGAACAAGTCACCTTTTGGTAAGCAAGGGTGCCAGGGATGCTGTGCCTGCTTTGCTGTGCCTGCTCGACATTCCTATGAGAATTTATAAAATTAGAGGGTTTTGGGAAAGCTGTAAGAGGTGTGCTTATAGTGATTGCATAAAACTACTGTCAATATGCTTTTACTTTATGTGATTAGTCAAACAACTTTTAAAATAAGTTGTAACATTAAGTTCTTAGTCTGCTGCCTGAAATGTAAACTGATGGCATCTTCCCATTGTCATAACCATGTAATAAAACTGATGCTAAAAAACAAAACAACTCAAGACACGTTCCTAGCAATCTCATCCTGTTTGTGATTTGTACATAACCCCCAACCAACAACATATTCCCACTCTGTCTCCATGGCTGCTCCAGGTAAATTCATCCTGGGCTGTGACAAATATGATCCATCACCTGGGAAAGCCTCAAACTGGGGAAACACAACAGCCCTGAAGAGCCCTGATTCCATGGGATTGTGAGCAACTACATCCCAGGAACTCATGGGGGCTCACTCAAGTGTCACTGTCCTTTGCAAGAGTTTGAGTAGAGAGAAATAAGCTTGGACTGCTCCCCATGGTTTTGAGGAAGGAGTTGGAGAAGTGTTTCCAGTTATTTGTAATTATTGTAGAAAAATATAAGGGTTTGAATGTACCTGTAGGCACTCATATACATGATCTCTGTGTGTATTCTTATTAAAGTGTATAAATACACATTTTATACATGCTCCTCTTGTTCACATTATTTATATGCAAGTATGAAAAAATCCCTTGCTATCTTCAGCTGGAACCCTGTCCAGGAGTACAAAGGCTTTCCTCATTTCCCCTGTGCCCAAAGCCCTGAGCTCTGCCATGGATGAGGGCACAGACATGGAGTGCAGAAAGGTGAAATGTGCAGAGAGGAGGGACTGCTAGCTCAAGATCATGGCTCTGAATCGTGCCAGGGAGCGCCAGGCCCAGTGCCAGTGCCACAGCACCACAGGTGTGTGATCACAGCACTGCCACCCCTCCCCTGGCACCACCTCCTCAGGGGTGGCTTTGCTCACCTGTCACAAAACCTGCTCCAACACTGGATTCCATGAAATACAGCTGATTAATCCCCAGCAAGGCAAATTTTAGTAGACCACTGGCACTGGAAAAATATTCCCTTTGGCTTTTTCCTAAATTTTTTTTTTTTTGTCTGGAAATGTTTACCAGCTCCTATGCAGAGCAGAAATACTGAGCATTTAAAATCTGGAAGAAATCTTGCCAGGATAGTGTATTTTTTAATTTTTTTTTTTTTTTAGGAGGAGGGTTTGGGCTGTGTTCTTCACAGTTCATATGCCTGCTTTCATTTCCAGACTTCTCACACGTTTCTGTTCCTATAATCCTCAACCAGGATTCCTTCTTTTGAAGACTTTGCTGATAGGTAAACAGAGAGCAACATAGGGGAGAGAGCTCTTGTCCAGCAACAGCCCCAGAGAGGAAATTTCTGACCACCCCCAGCCTAGCATTTGATTAAATGCTGCATGGCAAGCATTCCTGGCTGATGTGCACATAAACAGAGAACAGAATTTTCTTTATCTGTGCTGCTTTTCATATTCAAGGTAACACAAAGCTCCCATAAATCTTAATGTGAAAAATATGGCTGCTCCCAGTGATTTCTCCTGGGGCATTAAATCCTCTGCAGAGCTGCACACACTGGCTGTCAACAAGTGGTTTCACAGAATCACAGAACCATTTTGGTTGGAAAAGACCTCGAAAATCAAGTCTAACCTTTGACTTATCACCACCTTTCAATTAGTGCAGAGCACTGAGTGTCACATCCAGTTGTTCCTTGGACCCACCACTCCCTGGGCAGCCCTTTCCACCAAGAAATTCCTCCTGATGTTTTGAACACTTGAAGGCAGGGAAGGAACTCCAAATTGGGCTGAGCAGCTTTGCCCAAGCTGTGTATGTTCCTTGTTATGGAGGAACTACCATTCCCTCTTTGTCCCACAAAAGAACTGGGCCACCTTTGTGGAGAATTGCCCACCTTGAGAATCATGTGAAGCAACATGATGAGGCCTTCCTTGCCTGAATAATTCACAGTGTTGGAAGGAGTGAGGCTGAAGAGGTTGGCTCCTGCTTCTGTGCAGATGGCATGGACCAACATTTTCTTTCCAACACCAGCAGGTCCTGCCAGCAGCAGGGATTTCACCAGAGGAGCATTCTCATGGACAGTTTGGGAACCTGTAAAAAGTCATAAGGCATTATTATTGCTTTCATTTAAATCTGCCATAAAGGTAATGGAATGATTCCTCCTTTTTTTATTCACCATAAATAATTGATAACATGAATTAATTGTTTCCTTCCTATGGCGTGAGTGCTCTTGAGTTCAATTCTGTATAACCTGAGCTGAGAGTCCAGCAGATTAAACATCTCTTTTTGGAACAAGACTCACCCACCCTTATTTGTACCTCCTGGTGGGAAAACTTCACTTTTAAACCCCTGTGTGAGTTAAAAGAATGATTTTGGGAGCAGAGGAAATGTGAGTGCCAGGGTTGCTGTGCCTGCTCAGCATTCCCACTCTGTCTCCATGGCTGCTCCAGGTAAATTCACTCTGGCTGTGACAAATATGATCCATCACCTGGGAAAGGCTCACTTTTGGAAAACACAAGCACAGACAGGCTTAGGTGGTTGATGGGGATGGAACTTGACTTCCCTGCAGCTGCTACCACATGAACTGGGGACAGGGGAACCTCCAGAGGTGGAAATAGCCGGAAATGTCAAATATTTTGTCCATGCCCCTTTTGCCTCAATGCCTAAATAAGTCCTGTGTCAACAGTGGTGCTGTTTAAATGTGCTTGAAAATCTCTGGGAGCATCCACAGCATCTGGAGGTCTCTCAGCCTGGTGTCCACCAGATTGTGGGAGTGAAACTGGCCCCAAAACTGATGGGCTGCAGAGGGAGCCTTTGCCTCAGCCTGGAGCAGCCCTCTGGCTTAATGGGGATGGCTGCTATTTAAAACAAATCCAATCAGGGTGGTTATCTGTGTCCTAATGGTTTAACATCCCAAATAGATGGCAGGGAACTGAGCACAGAGACAAATGCCATTATTCCAGCACAGTGCAGGGTGTAGGAAGTTGTCAGCCACCCAGGCTTTATTAATTTTTGGTCATTCCACAGCAATCCATTACTATTGCACAAAGATTTATTAGGAGGGGAGCAGCAGACTCCTCTGTGTTAAAAATGAAGTATAGCTTCTACTATTCTTTCTCCTTTCAGCTGCTTGTAATTTTCTTAGTGCCATTTAAGCTGGGGCTTTCCTTGCCATCAGGTGGCTATTTTGAGAAAAACTTTCACTTCTGTGATACACAATTATCTCATGATGAACTAGTTTGGAGACCAATTAAGTGAAATGTCATCCGTAACAGATCACCCCATAGGTGAAACCATTCCTGAACCTTTTTTTTTTTTTTTTTTTGGCTCATGTAATGGCTTTTGTTACTCAAAGACATTTTTCAAACTGCTCTTGCAAGTACCTTTTATTTGTTTAACTAGTCCAGGGTCTCCTCTCCCTAGAATTTTTGCCAATTGTATAAATGGCAGAAAATTTATGGGTTCTCCTGATTAAGGGGTGTCTCAGGGCTTGATTTCCCTGGATCAGATGGTGTCAAAACACAGCTTTGGAGGAGTCTGGGGATAAGTGAAACACATTGTGCAGACAGGCATAACTGCTTAGCAATCTCAGCTGACTGCAGTCAGACCTTCAGCCTTACCCAAACCAGCTGAGGGTGTTGCTCCAGGTGGGAAGAGCCCCATCCAGGCTGAGGAGAGAATAACCTGAGCACACTTTGGGAGGAGGGGAAAACAGAAATCCTATGCTTGCTCTGTGTTCCAGGGTGGGAGGCAGGCAGATGTTGGTGATTTTGCCCTCTAAGGGGGATGAGCAGACACTGACACAGCTTGGAGGAGTTAAAATCTCCCTGAGATCCACTCAGGAATGGAAAAGGAGGCAAGTGAAATGTTGAGGCTGGAAAATCCAATCAGGAGTGGAAAGGGACACAAACAAGGTTTTGATAAAGGCCCCCGAGACAGGCACTTCTTGCAATCACTGGAGTTTGGCACAAGGCCATTCCCAAGTGAAAAATGGGATAGATTTTACATTAAAAGCAAACAACCTGACCCAGCGGAGCCTTGCTAGATATTGGCTAAACCTGGCATTAAAACTGCAAGGGCATTTACAAGTGTTTTCTGTGGTGTACAAAATGTATCCAGACTGATTCCTCCAACGATTGCACTGTGCAGCACCAGTAACATTAGCCAGCTTGTAAAAGGTAAATTGCAACCTTAGCCCTTGCCTTAACTTGATTAATTTTGATCACTGGAGCTTGTTTGAGCTATTATCTTTCCCAAGTGGTTTCCCTTGATGTGCTGCCATTCACAAACTGCTGCCATGCAGGCAGAGATGGGCTGGGGAGGGCATGCACTGTTCAAGGGAGCCAGCCCTCACTCTGAAGGCTTCATTGAAAAACAATTAGACTGCAAAATGCTTCAGATTGCCACTAATCAGCCCTGTCAAAGGCAGTAAAATGCAGTTTCTGGCAGGGAGCAAAGGCTCAGAGTGCTGTGCCCTCTGGTGTGCTCTTACCCAAGGGCAGTATTCCATAGAGGGCCACGAGCTGCCTGACTTCTGGGATGGAGGGCATGGGCTGGGCCCCTGTCTCACGAAGCAGGGTCCCCAGACAGTCGTAGTAGCCTGTGAGGAGGAAGCAGGAGCTCAGCAAATGTGCCAGTGTCGTTGCAGAGAGCATCACTCAGGGAATGGGGAGCTGCCACAGCTCGGGGCTGGGGCACACGCTCAGCAGAGCCAGGCCCAGGGACTCAGGCTGGGCAACCTTCTGGTGGAATGTGGCCCTGAGAAAGGTGAAGTGCAGAGGGAAATTGGAGCTGAGCAGGCTGTGGAAGTTGTTCAGCGGAGAGCAGACGGTTTGCAGTAACCTTTGAAAGGAACTTTGTGGAGAGGAATCATTAGCAGCGCCATAAATCATGCTGCTGGCAAAGCATTCCTGGATTTGGGATTTTGCAGGGCTAGAATCCCAGTGAACCATGAGCTCTCAGAAGGATTTCAAAAAGGGGAAAAGCTATTTTAACAAGCTTTTCCCTGGCTGGGTCCCATCTCAGCTCCTCACTGTGTCACCTCATTTGGTGGGGCCCTCTGCTTTGCAGTTCACCTCTTCTTTTTTCCCCTCTTTTGTTCAAAAAACCCTCCACAAAACAACCCAAGGAAACTAAAAATCCCTGACACGAGCTGAAAGGATTTAATCTTGCCTTGGCTCTTGTTGCAGAGCTATAATCACATTGCTTGCCCTGTCAAAGCCCATATCCAAGCAACGTTGGAGAGCAAAGATACAGGAGGATGAGCCACAAGCAGGAAAAGCAGTTGTGATGCAGTCAGTGATTATTTTTAGCATAAATTACATGTGATTATGGTGATTATTATTGAAAAATAATAATATATTATGTTTTACTGAAGATAAAAAGGCAGAGGGCAAGAGGCCTCTGGAGCAGAGGCAAATTAGCAGTGGTTAAGAGCAAAAGTGGAGGTATAATTTGGGGGCAAAAAGGCAGACAAGGCCTGGTGCAACTGCCCCCTCCCCTTTGAAGAATAAAATTAATTTCAGGTTTTATCTTTTATTTAAGGAGAAATCAAAAGAACGGGATAGGAATTAATCTTCACAGATTTAATTAGAAGGCATCAAAGGGTTTAATTGCAACTGCACATAAATCACAGTGGATATTCTCTGACTAATTTAGATAAGGTCACCAAGAAAATTAGTTCAGTGATGTCAGTTTGTCATAGAGGGGGGACATTTCAGTGCCTTTACTGGCTGTGTAGCACAGTTCCACTCTTTGTCCTTTCCCCAGGAACTGGAAGTGACCTTCCTTAGGCTCCAGCCATGGAAGGCTGAGCAGATGAAGGCTTCTTTCTCTGTGTCCTTGGGGCCTTCAAGAGAGTTTTTCTGGATTTCAAAAAATGGTTGGAGATGTGCTGTTTTAAAAGCATTTGTGGTGGGGGAATGTTTGTTGGACAAAAGTGACCTTGATAGGTTGGGGGAACAAAGAAAGAATGGAAATCTTCCTTTACTCGGTGGTCTTTAATGAGCATGGAGTGGATGGGACACTTAACTGAGAGAATTCACAGCTCTTCAGAGGAATAGACAGAGGCTCTGCAGGCTGAACTGGTGCTTCTGAGAGTTTATATAAACAAGGCATTTGGGGTGATAGGAGAGAATTTGTCTTTTGTGCCTTGGCCTTGTACTCTCAGCCTGTAGCACTTCTGCTTCTGGATAGCAGCAAATTCAAACCATGGCCTTTGACATAGCTGAATCTTGGGGTTTTTTTTGCTGTTAAGATGCTGTGATTTCACTGTGTGTCACCAAATGTTTGTGGGCATGGTGTTAGACACCTCTAAAGTCTGCAAATGTGGGGCTTGGGGGTTTTTACCCCTTTTTTTCTCTGTAGAGCACAGATAAGCAGGACTGGCTGCAGTTGCAGCTAACAGAAACCAGACAAGAGGAGTGTGAAATGCAGAACTAGGCAGAGACACTTCTTTCTCACATGAAGGGCCAGATATGCCTCAAAGCACTGCTCAAAGTTCATGGGCAGTCAGGGAGGTGCAGGGAAGGGGCCGAGCCTTTACAAAAGACAACAAAAGCTGGAGGTACCATTTTTGCTGCTCTCTGGGAAATATTCTGCATTATGGATTTTTTATGACCCCTGCTCTGTTAGACTGGCACTGTCTTGGCACTGCCTGGCAAGGGCTCCTTAAAGGGTGTTGTGGTTCCAGCTCAGAGTGGCTGTGACATCCACAACCCTTCAAGGCTGCTGCTGTTGCTGCCTGGAGTCAAATACCAGCTCTGCAAACAGGTCCTGCCTTCAGCAGCAGAAGTGAAAGCTCCTGAGCAGCCTTGATTTGCATACCTGGCCTTAGATATTCAAAGTGCAGTGACCTGAACTCAGTCCTGACTGAAAACAGGGGTCAGTGAGGATGTAATGGCTGGAGGTCTAATCAAACACTACATTTTCTCTGAAAGGGGTACTTTACCCATGTAGTCAGAGAGATTCACATTCTTGACTTGGATGAGCAATCTTTCTTCTGCAAGCTGCTGGTACAGGGAATCAATGCTCCTGTGGGCAAGAGACATCACTCAGAAATGGTCAGGAAAGGCTCAGTGCTCTCAGAACTGAGCCAGCCTGGGAGTTGTTTGTTTGGCCAGCTTTATAAATGTCCTCTGTGGCTCAGAGGTGCATGATTAGTGCCATCAGTGTGAAATCAATAAGCACAGCTTCTGTCTTGTGCTGAGCAATATATTTCCCTCCCTCCCAGGCTGGGTCCCCCTCTCCTGCTGACTCCATTTACCCATTTCAGGTGATGCCAGATCAGTTATGACTTGTGTAATGGACTCATTCATTAATATCAATTACTGGGAAATTATTTTTAAATTACACAATAATGGCAATCCTAACACTACTATACCTGTTCACCCAGCTCTCCAATTAGTACTAATTCATTAATTCTCCTTGGAATTTATTGTGTTGGCAACAGACAGCCTCATCTCTCTGGGAACACACTGGGAATGCTTTGCTCAGATCCACCACCTGCAGGGTTGTGGTCAGAGGGGGACTGGGGCAGAAATGTCCAGTGGAAGTGTTGCCCCATCCCTGGCAGTGCCCAAGGCCAGGCTGGATGGGGCTTGGAGCAGCCTGGGACAGTGGGAGGTGTCCCTGCCCATGGCAGGGGTGGCACTGGATGGGTTTTGGGGTCTCCTCCAACCCAAACCAGTTTGGGATTCCATCAAATGGGCAAAAGTTCCCCAGTGGAAGCTTCTCCCTATCTCCATTAGTGGCTGGAAGTAGATCCCAATAACGAAGGAGTTAAACCACTTAAATTTGAGTTTGGTTTTCTATTGATGTGGATCCTCTCTATGCTTTCTTTTGGAATTCTAAGTATTAATTTCAAGGACATTTCTGGCACTTGGTTTTATGGAGTAATACTGCTTCCAGGATGATGAAAACTGAATAAACCTGTCGGAAATTCTCAGTGTATTGACAGCATAAACAATATTGATTTTAGTCTTTTTAGATCTCTCAGTGTTTTTCCACACTTTTCACATTCTTTCCCCTCAATTATTCTGTCTTTCTCACCTATCTTAATTGGGATGTCCTGGTCTGGCTACAATAAATATATTTAATAGTGCCTCTCAGCTGGCTAATAAACCTCCAGGTATAATTTGAGGTCTGCAGCCTTTTTTCCATTTCAGCTGAGGAGTTTTATGTTTATGCAGTCTTAGTGGCACAATTAATGTAGGAGCAGCAATAAGCAAATCCAAAATTTAATGCACCTTCAACAAGGTTGATTTTGCTGCTCTGACTCTTGCTTTCATCCTCAGTGGTTTTATGTTGGGAATGCATCATAAACCAGGCAGAAGTTGGAATGGCACTAACCTGGCAGCTCTGGTGGGAGCAGGACTTCTACTTTTCCTGGTTTATTATTTTTACTGTGCCAGGTAAATGATGCATGTCCCCTCTAGGGGAGGGGATGTGACCAGTCTGTGCTGGCTGGAGCCCCCTGTGCCCCCTTCACTGGGCCAAAAGGGACATTTTGAATCTGTTATTCAGCCTCTCTCTGGGTTATTTCTGAAATGCTCAGCAGGGAAGAGCAAAGCAGGGAGATATGCCAGATAAAAAGCCAGCTACTAAAAAGCTCATGTTTTCAGCTGGCTGCATGGTAAGTTTATATCCAAAGAAGCAGGTATGTGCAAGAGCAGTTTTAAAAGCAGGGAATATATCAGATTTTGGCACTGTTCTGTAGGAGAGGTCCTGCTCTGTTATAATCCATGAGACATGGATTTTAAATATTTGCTTGGAGGTGTTTTTTAATTTTTAAAATATATTTTAAAGCAGGTAAAGAGATCATTGGCTGGTTGTGTGGTGCCAGCACCCAAATGATGGAGTCCAGGTCTGGCTGTTCTTGCACAAATGGGTTTTGGGGTGAATTTCACTGATTGTGTTTGGCACTGTGCTGTTCTCCAGCCCTGCTCCTGGATCAGCTGCTCCCTGAGGTGATGCCTCTGTGTTGTGTGAAAAATGGATTTTTAGGGAACACATCACTCTCACTGGATATGGCAGGGCAGAAGGAGAAATCCTCTCAGATCCTCCAAATAAAATAAGAGTGCTTCAAAGAGCAAGGGTCCACAAGAGGAGGCCAGGTCTGGCAGCACTCTGATTGCTGCATGAGACTGATTTATGGCATGTACACCACAGCTCAGCCATGAGGGGATCTGGGAAGAGTCTGCAGCCTCCCTTATTGGGATGGAAAATCTGAGAGCCACCAAAGCAGCCAGGTGCTTCTGCACCTGCAGAGAGGGGGAAGAGGCACCCAGGGCCCATCTCCTGCTGAAATGCTGCAAGTGCTGAGCTCTGCCCACTGCAGTTCACCTGCCTGCAGGGCATGGGCTGCTCCTGCTGCTGAGTGACAGCACAATGGGGATTTTAATCTGTGTTTGTGGTGAAGGTGAGGAAAACCAAGGCTGATACTGGAGATGTAATGCAGAGAGGCTCTCCTTACCTGCCAGGAGTCAGATCTTTCTCCAGCTCAGATACCTTTTTCTTCACAGCTGCCTTGCTTACCTGAGGACCACACAAGCAAGCAGGAGTTAGTGACTTTAGAACAGATAAATATTTTTGGATGTACTGAAGCCAAGTGAGGGCCAGAACAGCCAATGTTTCAGTGTATGAATGTAGCCCAAAGGGAAAAACCCCAGGGTCATTTTGCTCCGAGGGAAGAAGCTTCTCTCCTTCCTTTTGCTTGGATATTAAACTTTTTTTTTTTTTTAATTGGCACGGCTGTCCAGGACAGAGGTGGAAGCCCCAGCCCTGAAGGAATTTAAAAGCTCTGTGGATGTGGCACTTGGGGACATGTTTTAGTGGTGGCCTTGGCAGGGCAGGTTAAGGACTGGACTCGATGATCTCTCAGAGACCTTTTCCAGTTGTGTGATTCTTATTCCATGATTTTTCTGGAACCCACTTCTGTGGCTGAGGGGAGACATGGCCCTTGCTCAAGAAGGAAGCAGGAAGGAAAAGGGTGTGGGGTCCAAGTAGCTGCTCCAGAGACTGTTTATACCTTTTTAAAAAACAGATATATATTAAGTAAATACATATTTACTTAATATATATTAAGTAATATATATTTAAGTAAATACATATTTACTTAATATATATTTAAGTAAATATATATTTACTTAACATAGATTACTTATAAATATTAAGTATATATATACTTAATATATATACTTAATATATATACTTAAGTATATATATTAAGTATATCTATCTATCTATCTATCTATATCTATATATATACTTAAGTATATATATTAAGCATATATATATAAAGTATATATCTATAGCTATCTATCTATATCTATATCTATCTATATATGTATACTTAAGTATATATATTAAGTATATATATACTGAGGGGAAAAGCTCCTGAGACTCTGACTATCCACCTAACCACTGGACATCCTTCTCCTCCCTAATGCCTCAGGGAAGAAGCTGGAAGAGGTCAGAAAAACACTACCTGCTCTTTTCATCTTTTCACCACAATTTCACCACAGAAAGATTTTTACTCATGTGCCTCATTTCTATACACCTTACAAAAAAAACTCCTGGCAAACATAAATAAGGAAGATGTGACTCAGGCTTGTCAAGGCCCTCCATTAATTACAGCTCAGGAGCCATAAATATGGTTAGGGATAATTAGTAGTGTGGAGAGGGCATCATTAATCCATGTTAGTGCCCACCACTGGTGTCTGAGCTCCTTAAAGCACTTCAGCATTGCTCCAGTGGAGCTGTTTACACAGAAACCTTGGGGCACCAGGGGATTTCTCCAACAGCTTAAATTTAAGCACGTGCTTAAATGCTTAGTTGAACAAGACAGCTTATTCTTTCCAAAAGTTTATGTTCACTTTCCTGGGAATACAGTCATTTACTTTGCCTTTTTTATAAGAGTGAATACTTCTGCAGAGCTCTGGAGGCTGTGTTGTTGAGTTTGAAAAAAATCCTATCCAATTATCTGGAAAATGCTGGGCTTTTTCACAGAATGGATCAGCAGCCTTCAGGAATACATCAATTTCAGGTTTTTCAAGATAGACACAATGTGAGGAACCTGTGGTTCAATCACCTGTTCCTGTTTGTGATGCCACAAAGATAATGCAGAGGAAAATGCAGCCTAAGCCCAGCACTACATGGATCAGCTACTGAGAAAAGGTTTGGGTTAGGATAAAGCAAACAACTCTGTATTTGGAGAACTAAACCTTGGGTTTCTTTACATAAATAAGTTTGCCAGCAAATATTCGTTCAAATGTGCCAGGGGGATTTTGTTTTGAAGAAAAGGAATGGGAAGAAGAAAGCACATGCCATGCTGTTTTAACAACTGTGGAAATATTGAGGCTGTCACTGGTTTATTTTTGCTGTTCCTCCTGTTTTGTCTTTTTAACTTCTCTTCCAACAAGCCAGAAATTACATATATTTGTGTCTGACTGGGAAGAAAAGCTCGTTTCAACCTATGTAAAGACACGAAGCATATGTTGAATTTATTGGCCAACTGGTATTGTCCTCAAGGCAGCTTCACCAATAAAGTAACTCCAGAGCAAAACAAAAATGAACTGTGTGGAGGAAAAATGTGTTTTCCTAATTAACAACAGCACTTGTGGGGAATTTGGCACAGGTTGAGATGTGATAAGAGCAAATATGAATTGTAGACAATGGCTTGTCTCCAAAATGTCTTGCTGGGAACTGCTTTTATTTAGGAAAAGATAATGTTTAATGGATGTGAACACGCTGCTCATTTAGAATGGAAATCTCTGGCTGCTCTGCCTGCAGTGCCAGCTGAGCTCCTGCGCACCGTGCCCTGGCTGGGGCATTCCCTGCTCTGCTGCCCCCACAGGGTGAGCTGCACCAGGTGCCAGCTGCCAGGGACACTGGGCTCTGTCCTGTGCCCAGGGGGGGCCTGCTCCCACCCAGCAAAACGTTTTGGGCAGCTCAGGGGCTGGAGCAGACAAGAGCCTCATTTCAGACCCAATTCCAGAGCCCTGGCTGCTGCTGGGGTGGCAGCAGGAGGGAGAGGCTGTCCAAATGTGTCCCTGAGGGGAATGGATGAAACTGGAGGACGTGTGACACCCTTTGGCTGTGAACTCACCGTCCTGTGAGATCACAGCTATGGCCACCACAGGAATCATGGCATGGCTGGTTTGGCAAATCACACAATGCCACCCCTGCAGGGACACATTCCACCATCCCAGGCTGCTCCCAGCCCTGCCCAGCCTGGCCTTGGGCACTGCCAGGGATCCAGGGGCAGCCACAGCTGCTCTGGGCACCCTGTGCCAGGGCCTGCCCACCCTCCCAGGGAACAATTCCTTCCCAATATCCCATCTAAACCCACTCTCAGTTGGACGCCATTCCTCCTTGTCTGTGGAGTTTGTGAGGTCCCCAGGAGGAGGTGAGAGATGAGAATCTGACTCCGTGTTCTCAGAAGGCTGATTTATTATTTTATGATATTGTATTAAAGAATGCTATACTAAAACTGTACTACAGAAAGAGAAAGCTTAACAAGAATGAAATAATAAAAACTCATGTCTGACTCCTCAGAGTCTGACACAGCTGGCTTTGATTGGTCATTAATTAATAACAATTCACATGGAACCAATCAAGCATTCACCTGTTGGTAAACAATGTCCAGACCACATTCCAAAGCAGCAAACACAGGAACAGCAATCAGATAATTACTGGGGTTTTATTGATTCCTCTCTGAGGCTTCTCAGCTTCCCAGGAGAAAATCCTGGGCAAAGAGGATTTTTCAGAAAACATCATGGTAAAACTTGTCCCCTGTTGTAACAAGTCCCTCTCTGTGGTTCTTGTACATTCCCTTGGGGAACAGGGACAGGAGGGAAGTGCTCCTGTGGTTTAAGGGAAACAGCAGCAGCTGGTGCAGTTTTTTAGGGGATTCCTTGGATCATGTGAGATGTTTAAGATGGGAGGTTGAGCAAGTGCAGCTTTGCACTGGGCCTGGGTTGAGAAGCCTGTTCTGGCAGTGCTGAGATAAAACAAGCAGCTTCTGGCACCTTCACTGAAAAAGTGTTCAGACAAAGATGCTCCCACTGACTCATTAACTTGCTGAATGAGGGATTCTGCTCTGCCATCCCTGCTGGATTTAGGATCCAAAGAGGTGACAGCTCCCACAGCTGGCTGAGGGCTCTGGGTGCAGCAGTTACAGGAAATCCAGCAGGCTTGGGAATCAGAGCCTCCAAACCCAGCCTTTCTTCAGTTCTCACCCAGCTTCCCTCCTGGCCTCCATTTATATATATATATATAATCTATCTATATATTTATTTTCATATATATGTACATATAAATATATAGTATTTATATAATATATATAAATTTATATTTATACACATATCTACATTTATATTATAATGGTATATAATTATTATATATTTATTTAATTTTATAATAATTATAATACATTAATTTATATTTATATATAAATAGAATATTTTTACTTTATTATTATATATTATGATAGATAAATAATTATTATAATATATAAATATATTATCTATATAAATATATTATATATTATTATATATATTATTATATCTAAAAATAATTATATATTATTACATAAAACAATTTACATTTATAGATATAGTTATATTTACAGATATATTTATACCTCTTGTCAGTATTTTTGTCACACCCACTTGTGGTTTTCTTGCTTCTGCCCAGTTTCACCAAAAAGGAACCTCCAAAGCTGTGCTGAGGCATAGCCCAGAAGCAAGTTTTCCGCACTTAGGTTCTCATGTCCCCCTTTCCTGGGTTGTTCTGTGTCTTTTTTTCTTTTTTCCCCCTGAATTCTGGCCATGCCTTTGTGTCTGTGTGGGTGTGTTCATTTCCAATGCATTGCTTTACCTGCACTGGGGATCAGCAATAAATCCTTGGGGAGGAGAGCAGGAAAAGCAGCACAATGGGCTTGAGAGAAAGAGCTCTGATAAGCTCTTAAATGTAACTTCCAGATCAGTGCCTGCCATGTTCCTCCCTCAGAGGACATCCCCTGCCAGCCCTTCCTCAGCCTGGCCTTTCCCAGTGCTCCCAGCCCCAGCTGGTGATGCTGCCTGGGCAGGGGATGAGCTGCCACTGTGCCAAGAGAAGGAAAATGCAGTTGAGAGCAGAGCTGACCCAATTCCTCTGTTCCTGTTGTGTCCCCATCCCCTTTCCAATGACAGTCACGGGACCAGGGGCTCTCTGGAAGAATCAGAGGAAAGCAAAGTGTGTCTCAAACAGGACACTCTGCTCGATCCCTGGGTGTGGGAAGCGTCCAGCTTGGAAACAGACACAGGTCTCATGGTCATATTTTATGAAAAATCTTTTTTGACAGGATTTTTTTCTCCTGAGAGGCCTCAGAGAAAAAGAAAAACAACAATTATCTGCTGCTGTGGAGTGCAACAGGTGCATCTTTGGTTGGTCCATGTGAGTTGTTTCTACTTGATGACCACTCACAGTCCAGCTGTGTTGGGACTCTCTTGTCAGTCACAAGATTTTATTACCATTCCATTCCTTTCTTTCCTAGTCTTCTGATGAAATCCTTTCTTCTATTATTTTAGTATAGTTTTAATGTAATATATATCATAAAATAATAAATCAGCCTTCTGAAACATGGAGTCAAGATTCTCATCTCTTCCTCATCCTGGCACCCCTGTGAACACCATCACACACAGGATCTGTGACTCCAGTAACAGCACTGTGCTTTATTGACTATTCGCTGCAATCTAATAATTTTGCTATTTCCACATCAGTCTGCTGCTCTGGAGACCCACTTGTCATGAGAAGAACAATTTTTTTCACCCAAGTTTGTTCTTCCACACAGCTGCCAAATGGAGGATTTGTAGTTTTACAAAGTTTATAGAGAGAATAGCTCTTGTAGGTGAGTAATCTTAATTTCAGCACTGAGAATGGTGGGGATGGAGGAGGATGGGGTATTTTGGTAATGGAAGACACTCCAAAGAAACTCCTCTTATCTTCAGGAGCTCTAAGAGCAGCTCTTGGTAGGGCTAAGAGCTGAGCCAAGAGTCAGCTTTTAGCAGTAAGTGGTATTTGAAGATTTGGGAATCAGTGATAAAGAGCTCATGGAAATAAAGGAGTGGCTCTGGATAGGCCTGAAGATGTTATAGCTTGTTTTTCTTAAATCTAAGACCTGAGATGTCTGGAACACTGAAATTTCCCTTCAGATTCCAGTTCCAAAATGTCCTTGCTGTATTCCCCACAAAAGGGATTTTAAAACTCAGATTGGTTCTTGTGGGTCAGGCAGATTTTTTTGGTTTTAATATGGATTTGACAGAAATTTTCTGAGTTGAGAGCTACTCATCTTAAGGCTTGGGAAGTCACAGAACCTCTGGTAGGGATTATTCCCTGACAAAGAGAGCAGAAGAAATTGCTCCCTAAAACAGAGGGAATGGCCAAATGTGGCATCAGGAATTTGGGATAATGGTCTCTAGACACAAAATTCCACCTGTAAAAGCTCTCCTGAAGAAATTCCCCTTTTATTGCCCCTTGCCCACTGCCAGAGTGCAGGAGAAGGTCTGATTCCTCTGAAGAATATTGAATTCTCCTGAGAATGCAGAAAATCCCCTTTGTTTTTGGGCAGGGGAATGTTTCACACTGAACTCAGCCACACTCCTGGCTGCAATGAGAACCTGAACCTGTTATTTTGTGCTGCATAGCTGAGGGGAGACATATGGGACCTCTAATGTTGCTTGAAAAACTAGAGATTTTTTTTGCTGAATAATAAATTAATGAGCTATTTCCAAAACTTTCCAGCTCATATTATTCTTATTATCTAGAGCAGGTTATCCTGAAGCAGATCTGCAGTCTGTGTGCACAGGTATGCACTGGTTTGGTTCATGGCTGAGATATTTATGCAAACACTAATTGGAAAAAGCCTTTGCCAATGCTGAATGGATATTTTAAATGGTTTTGCACAGGGGAGATGTGTTTTGACTTAAACTGCACCCATCCCTCAAATAGAACTGTTTTGGCTTGGGTGGGGTTATTTTAGATGAAATCTTTAAGGAATTTCTATTATCTAATTAGTGCTTCTTTCCCTGCCTCATTCTCTCAGGCTACTGGCATAACTTGGAAAGATAAAAGTTAAATAATCTCCCTCCACCCTAAGCTATTCCAACAGTACATTGAAGGGAAAAAAACAAACCCAACCCAGCCCTAAGATAAAGCTCTGTAATTTCAATGGGACATTTTGCAGCAGGGCACTGACCAGCTGATCTAAATGTGGCTGCCCATGAAAACTTGGGGGAGATTGTTGCAATATTTTGTCTGTCTGTCTTAAGCCCCCCCCTATTTTTGAAGCAGCTTTAGGAATCCAGTTGGGATCAGCTTTCAGAGCTGCCCCAGTCTTTTCTTATTAGATTGTCCCTGGAGGTTTGTCAGGTGAAAGAGCATTTTTAAAGATAATTTGAGTAGAAGTAGAGCAACAGCAAGTATTTGCATGCTAAAAGGCATTACAGAAATGAAATACAGCATGAGATTAGGGCTGGCTATTTGCCCTGAGGGTTTTAAGTGGATCTGCTGATTGAGTGGTGGGCTGTAAGCTCTGAGTGATTTTGCACTGACATGATCTCTCATTTAAATGCTTTGGTAAGGAATTTTAGAGAACCACAAGCTGTGGAATTCTTCATATGATAATGCTGTAAAACTAGATGTGAACATGACATGTGCTGTGTTTTGGGGAGGGTTTAACCTATTTTTTATGCCTAAATAAACTTGGCTTAATTGCAAATTCCCAAACCCTTCAAGAGGATGTAGTAACATAATGAGTACCTGGCTGTGTGTGATCTATGTGGTGTTACAGACAAATGAAAGGTTACATCAAAACATTCAGAGGGAATTTTTTGGGTGTATGGTTTTGAAACATAATAACCAGCCCTTATTCAGGAGGAAAACAGCCAGCAGCTGGAAAACTCACCGGCCTCCAGATCCCTGTTTTCCTTGGAAAACTATAAATCTGAACTGGTCAGGCTAAAGAGAGGGATTGCTTCCATTCTGCTGTTTGACTGCATCCAAGGATTTCAGGAAGGTGAAAATCTGAACTACATTGCAGTGATTTGATTTATCTCTGGAACAGCTCAACTTGCCCTAAGCAATATTTATACAAGTTAAAGAGCAAAAGCTAATGGAGAAGGCCCTGGAAATAGCCACAGGTGAAGAGATTTTCAGATGTTCCTGATGTGAGATTCAGTAAATGTTATGGGGGGACATTTTGATGATTGTCCCTGAGGTTTGCACTGATGGAATTGAGGCTGCCCCTCAATTCCCCACCTTGCTGCTCTTACCTTCTCTTTGACAGCTTTGACCTGACCTGGACCTGTCTCTCCATCCACAGCCTCTTTGACTCTCAGCAGCTTCTCCTGCATCACTACATCGACCTGCCCAAGACAAACACAGAGGGACCTTCCTCAGCTTTCTGTTCAGCTGAACAAGCACACAACAGCCAGCAGGGAGGGAGGGAAGGGCTGTGCCAGGGCCAGTTCTTGCAGCTGGAGAAAAATCTCCCCAGGTAATGCACGTGAGCAGTGTCCTCTTGCTACTGTGAGCTCACCTGCACTCTGATCTCCTCCACCACTTCTCCCCGTTCCCCTGCTCTGATCAGCTCTGGGTCATGATCCTGGAGAAAATCTGCTTTGTTATCTCTGTTCTCCCAAAAGACTGTTAGCCAAAAGAAAGGAAAAAAAAAAAAAGGGAAAAGTTACAGAAGCCATTGGTTTCTCCAGCTGCTTCTGGAGGCAAAAGAAAGGGTGGTTGTAGGCAACTTTTATTTAATGATGAGCTGCAGGAAGGCAGCAGGCTCTAGGGACCCTCACCAAGTTCAGAGCCCTGTTGTCATCATGAGATTTTCTGAAAAATCCCTTTGCCAGGATTTTTCTCCTGAGAAGCTGGGAAGCTTCAGCTTCTCCATGTTTTGCTCCTCTGGAATGTGGCCTGGAGATTGTTTATCCAAACATATTAATTGTTTTTAATTAATGACCAATCCCAGTCCAGCTGTGTCAGACTCTCTGAGTCAGTCACAGGTTTTTATTCTTCATTCTTGTCCAGCCTTCCAATGTCTCCTTTCTCTTTCTTTAGTATAGTTTTAGTATAGCATTTCTTATACTAGAATATCATATCATATCATATCATATCATATCATATCATATCATAATAGATCAGCCTTCTAAGAACCTGGAGTCAAATTCTCATCTCTCACCTTGTCCTGGGCACCCTCACAACCCCACAACACCCTGTTGTGTTAGGATCTGCAAATCTTGAGGTTAAGGGATTTCTGCTTTTGCCTTGGCTTGCAGAATGGGAGCAGAATTCAGGAGGATTTTGGGATAGTGAGGCTGTGAAGCTGAGAGCCTGGAGCGTGCTCAATCTCCATGAACCCTGGTCCCGTGCCTGATTTTGGCATTATTTTATTTTATTTTATTTTATTTTATTTTATTTTATTTTATTTTATTTTATTTTATTTTATTTATTTTTTTAAATTTTATTTTTTAAATTTATTTCTTTCATTTCATTTCACAGCGCAAGGCTTCAATCTTTTCCATGAAGAAGGCACAGGGGTGGCTCCCACCCTGAAGGATGTGCTCTCCACCAGTGTCACTTGGCTTGGGGACCAAAGGAAGGGGACTAATTCAACCCACAAATTTCCTTCTTTCATTCCCAGGAGGCTGAAATATGGGAATAGGGGCACTGGAATGGGAATAAAACCAGCACAGAGCACCTGGAGGTGGGAGAGAGGAGGGGACAGTGAGGGTGACAGAGCAATAACCTGCAGCTGACCACAAGGGATGCAAGGCCACACAGACCTTCACTTTTTAAGGGGATTTTAAACTCAATTCAGAAGTTAAAAGGCAGTTAAGCCCAAAAGAGACAAGACCCACCAGATCCAACCCCTCTGTTTTGAAGTGCTGTGCAAAGGAGAAGTAACAAGAAGACCTAACACCCAGTCACAGTGAATTTGTGGAACTGGGGATGGAAAAAAAAAGCTGTTTATGATAAAGTACCTAATGATCCTGAGGTGCAGCTCATTATTTTTGTTGAGGCAAACTGCAATTTTCTCTTTAGAAAGAAAACTAAATGAAGTCTGACGAGCTCAGTGCATATCTGAGTTCTCTAAGTGTCTGGTTTTAATGGAAACACCTTTTCTCCTACACTCCTTGAGATAATTTGAAGGAAGACAATTCATATCTTGCCTTTCAAGCCCTGATTGTATCTTCCTAAATGACAGCTAATCTCCAGCTGTGTGCTAATTCAATTTCCTGATGATTTGAAATGACAGTTTTCCACTTTCAGATGTTGGCTTCTGTATGAATCAGTTTTGTACAGATATTATATTTGTACAGACATTCTTTTTGTACAGATATTCTATTTGTACAGACATTATATTTGATATTCTCCCCTGCACCCCTGGCCTGCTGAAGGCACCATGCAAATTCAGAAGGGTTTTAACATCCAAGTTTTAATTAATCCAAGACTGGCTGCTCTTTCCATCCCCCCAAAAATTTTTCAGGGCCCAATTCCAGGCAGAGGATTTGGAGTTTTACAAAGTTTATAGAGGGATTAATTCTTGTAGGTGAGTAATCTTAATTTCAGCACTGAGAATGGTGGGGATGGAGGAGGACAGGGGAGATTTTGGTAATGGAAGAAACTCCAAAGTACAGACATTTAATTTCTTTAAATTACTTGTGGGTCATCAGAGGGCATGACAGATGGCATGTAATATTGCAGCAGGAAAAGCTGATTTGCCCAAGTTATGAGGTAGCTCCTCCAGCCTGGAATTCCAGCCTTGGGGAAAGGGGACATTACATAAGAGTTATGTGAATTTTTAAACACTTTCCTGACTGGGTCAGCAGGTTGCCAGTGCTATGTTTTCACAGGAATACCAGGCTTTGGAGATTTATTTTTCATAGAGGGATCTGTAGGTTTTTCTATTCTGGTTTTTTTTTTTTTTTTCATAATTGTTTATTGTCATTTTGTAGATTGATTAGTGGTTAATACCCACTGCAGGCAAAGCAGGGAGGGTCCCCCCAGACCCAGGGATTACCTGGCAATGAGTTACCTCAGTGTTATATTAACCACTGGGTTAGAGGGGCCTAATTTTAGTAGAGACATCAATAACTCATAGGTGCTAGATGCTCTGTTATTCTTTTATAGATCAACAAAATGTTTCAAAGTTAATTTTAAAGGGGGGTCAGGAGGCTAAGGATGTTATGTTTTCACTGGCTGGTCAGCAGAGTCTGGTATTTTGTTACAGGCAGGGTCAGCCAGCTCCAGGAGCTATTTCTGTGCCTGTGTGTGTGCAGTGAAATTGATGTCACCTTTTCTAAAATAGTGTATGCTTATTTTGGGATAGTTTTATATGCAGAGCTGGCTCAGGGCTCAAAGGCAGCCCAGAGCACTCCTAAATCTGCATCCCAGCTCTGCAGGCCAGTAGGGAACTCCAATATCCCTGAATTTCACAGAACAGCCTGTTAATAACAATTCTAAAATATTTATTTGAATCATGAAGCTTCTCTTGAAATGGCCACTTTGAACCTCCTGGCAAAAGGATTTGAATCTTTTGAAGGCTGGTTAAAAATACAGAGTATCACCACACCTTCAAGGAATATTTGGGCACACCATGGAGTATTTGAACTCAAATATCCTCTGTGACACTGAGCAAGTCATAAATATAATCTGTAGGATGGGGAAAATAGCACATTGCTGCCTCACACTGCAAAAATACACTGCAAAAATACAGAGGGAGGAAAAGGCTCAGCCTTACATTTGCCCCCTGTAAACTCTGGCTATTCCAGTGTCACAGGAGATGCCACACAAAGAGGCTGTTTCCAACCACATCATTCAAAATAAATGTTTTAGGGCTTGGCAAGTGGAATTTAGCCACTAGAAAAATGGCCAGATATAGCCTAGGAGGATAAAAGGCTTCCAGTGACGTTTAGGCAGCAGCTCTAGCTTGGTAAAAGAGTTAAAAACAGAGTGAAATGTTTAGATTTTTGTTAAAACTGATCTAAATTTAAAAATTATATTTAAGAAAGCTAGGTATAAAGCACCAATTTCATGGGATGAGAACACTTTCTTCAAATTAAGTGTTGGGGGCTGTGACAAAAGAAAGATGCTTGTTGTTTGGTCAGCTGCCATTTAGGTGAACTTTAGACATTTTGAATTACTCCTGATACAAACAGGAGCTTTGAATTACTCCTGATACAAACATTTCTTAATCAGGCTCTGTTGCTTCAATCATGTCTTCAAGGTTTCTGCACTAACAAATCTGAACTTCTGTGCAAATGCTGATAGCAAGTGACCTATTTCTGTACAAGATTAGGGGGAAAAAAGTTCTCAGTAGAAAGTCCAAACTCAGACCTATTTTTTCCTGCATAATTCTGCTAGTGAGAGGAAAGCGGCCTAAAAATTAAAAATACAAGAGTCTGTGGTGTTCTGGTGGATGTTGTTGTAGATTTGATTCTGATGAAAGAATTTGATTCAAAGGATCCATGGTCAAATTAAAAATAAAATCACTTTGGACAACCCCCAGGTAGTATTGTGTGAGTGCCCTGCAATGAAAAGCCCAAACCATCTAATTACTAAAAAGCTAAACCAGCTAATTACTAAAAATAAGTGTGGTGTCAAACAGACCTGGTTCACCAGGAGAAAAGGAGGAAAGAAAAACCCCACCTGAAGTTGAACAGCTACAGACTCCTCCTGTGCCTAAGGCAGAGCTGCAGGTATCCCTTGAAGCCTGCAAGAGAGCTTTTCCACTCTGAGGCTCCTGCTTGTGCTCTCTGCAGAAAAGGGCTCCTTCTCATGTGCCTTCAGAGCTGGGGAGCAGCTGGCAGCCCCAGCAGGATGCGTGGGAGGTGTGGGGTGTGGAACTGGGAAATGGGA